TTTGGAAATAAACAATTATGTTTATCTTTTTTTTAAAGCACTCCCTTATATTTTCAAAACTCTAGCAAATAATGTAATTTTGAAAAAAGAAACTTCATACTCTCATCCAATAGTTAACATTTTCATTTATCTTCAACTTACATAATATTCACAGTTTTGAACCATTAACAATCTTATTTTGTACTTTGCTTACTTCATGCTTTCAAAGAATTCCAATACACTCTCATTATTCCTTTAACAAATGAAATTTGCTATTTTCTTTTATATTTTAATATGATTAAGAAGCTGCTAAGTATCTTAAAGGAAATACTTTAATTTTACCATGTTTCTTTAAAAATATTTTTCAATTACAAAACTGGAAAACTTGGAAAACATGAAAAAATAACATGAAAAAATAATAACACTCAACCCACCACACAGACAACTATGATTAATATTCTAAAATGCTTTTCCCTTTTTTCCATTGATTTTATCTGTAACAATTTTGTATATATATTGCACCAAACTTTACTTAGCCATGCTTTTCACTGTTGAAAGTTAGACTGGCTCTAAGTGTTTGTTATCATAAACAACCATGAAACTTAAGACTGTGCATAAATCTTTAATACAAAATGTGAAAATTAATGCTATTAAACTATAAAATGACTGAACCATGGCATCTGAGAGACTCAAAATACAACCATTGCTACCATCTGCCATTTATCTGACATATTTAATGGACATACATAAAAAACTAACTTTAGCTATCTAGTTTAACATAATAATCACTTTAAAAAAATATCAAGGACTTTTGTACCTTTATCCAAATGCAACAATTTTCAGGCTATATTGATCATAACTTTCCATGTCATATGAATTACACTGCAAATTTGGATCTCACAAAAATGTTATTATCTAGAAATAAGCATTTCAACTGCCAAGATTAAAAAGCAAATTCATTATGCTCTAAAAAATGAGCAAGCTTTTATCATTGAGAAGTATCTGAAAAGAAGTTCCATGTCTATACAATATCTATTCTCGTCATCAACCACCTTATAAAACATGAAATAATTGGTTATCACAAGTACTTTTGAGAATAATGATACAGATGAGGAATTATTAAGTGACAACAGTCTATGGGCAATTCACCCTCCTTTTTATAAATAGTTTTATTAGAACGCTTTTAATAGTTCATTCATTTACAGATCACTTAATGGTTGCTTTCAAGTTATGAGAGCAAAATTGAGTGGTTGATCTGCAAAGCATAAAACATCTACTGTCTCCTTACAACAGAGACAGCTAAAACACTTAAGTAAATAATTTTATTCATTCTTGGAAGCAAGTCTGGATATTTTGTAGTGACAAGACTTGGTATAATAAAGTAAACTATAATAAAGTTAAGTGCTCTGAAAAAGTGAAGTGTCAGAAAGACATGATTTCCAGTGGAGGAAATCCTGAAGAAAGCAGTTTTTGCACTGGGTTTCAAAATTCGGCTGTAATTTGGACATATAAGATGGGGAGACTTCCAATATAAAGAAAAAGAGAGCTGTGGAAAACTACAAATGTGACAATGTACTTTGCATGACAGAGCAGTTAGGAGAAAATGCCAATAAGCATTTTGGAAAGCACAGCAAAGGCTTTCAATTTCAAGATTAGCAGCTTAAATTTTAAACACAAATAGGTGCAAGATCAAGGGCATAATAATGACTAGAATTATGCTTTAGAAATCGATTGCCAACAGTAGTTGAAATGAATTAGAGGAGAGCAAGAAAGCTGATAAGGAAATTGCAAAACCATTAAAATGGTCCAAGAGAGAATAAATGAAAGTAGTGGCAATGGAACTGGAAAATAGAGAATGGACAGGAAAAAATAAACACATTACCATAGTAATCCCACTCAGAAAGACTTCAGATTAGACAGCAGCATTAGGATATAATAAAAACCACTTACTCATAAGGAGTAAAAACTATCTTAGAATAAAATAATTATTTTCAATCCTCCTATCTTAGAATAAAATAAGTATTTTTAATCAGTCCTGACCTTGTAAAGAGGAACTATTTAAATGATAATTACAATTTCTGGACTACCCCATTCCCATTTTTAAACTAACTCTGGATACAAGCACATATTAAAACAGAATTCACATGCCAGGGCCCCTTCTGATGGACCACTGGAAGGAAAGCCTAATCTTAATTTAGGACTCGTAATTTCTTCTGCTGAAGTGCTAAATACAATAGATGGCTTTGCTTCATAGCAGCTCCTCTCCAGGTATACCAAATGCCCTCCCCAGGAGGAAAACCACACAGTATCTTTCTCTACATTTTCCAAAGCACTGATAAATTTTATTGTTGCTTAAACTGTTAATTCTGAAATGAGAGATTTTACATTCAAACTTTACAAATATTTGAAAAACATACTAAAGTTAAAAATTTACTTCTTAGTCAGAAGATAAGGCAGATTCACCAGCTTATAGGTAAGGAAATCATGCTAAAGAACAGTTTTATATTTGTTAACTAAGTTGCAGCTCCCTTGTCAGTTGGTTCCTGGCTGAGCACTACTAATGAAAGACAAAGATGGTATTTTGGAGGGTGAAAGAAAGGAGAGAGTTATTTTTCTGTCTTCCCTAAGACTAAATCTCCCCAGAGGCTGCTGTTCTTTCTAGAGAAGTTGAGTTTCCAACAGGTAATTCTAGCACTTGTCTCCAACATCCATCTCCTCTCTCTATCCCTCCATTTACCACTATTATCATTTTCCTAATTCTAATACTTCTAATTCTGGGTTGCTTCATCCTCTTCTTTTGGCACCTCAAGTCTTTTGCTATCTATATAACCCAATTCTCTGCCTTAAAGACCCACAATGTAAGTGAAGCCCCTCCATCCAGGACTAATTTTTCTGATTCTAGTGTACCCACTGTCTTCCTACCAAAAGCCTCTTTCACAATGGAAAAGAACAGCAATAACATGAGTAAACTTTCTAGATCAACTGTGTAAATCCATCCTTCTCAAACTAGGATATGTCTTGCCCTGTAATATAGCAGGGTGATTTGTATGAAACTACAGGCTAAGCAAATTATATTTTCCCGTTGTGTCCAAAGTGATTTAAAAAATTATTTGCATATTAAAACAAACCACAATATGCTGTCAATCCAATGAGGAACGGTCTTCAAGAAATGGTACTGGGACAACTGGGTATCAACACATGAAGAATGAAGTTGGACTCTAACTCAAACCACATATAAAAATTAACTCGAATGGGGCCTCTCCGGTGGCGCAGCGGTTGACCGCTGGGTTGCGAAGCTGCCCGCGGCCTCTGCGGTGCCGGTTCGATCCCCAGCTGCTCCCCGGCCACCTGAGGAGGGTCCCGCATGGCGCGCAGACCTCTCCTGCCGCCCGCTACTCCCCTCAGCAGTGTACTTCGGTCCTTCTGCCTGCTCTGCTCCCTGCTCTGGCTCTGGTGAATTCTCTCACCCTCCCGTGCTTCTGACTGTACCCAGTGCATGTATAAACAAGCCATCAAACAAACAAACAAATAAGTAAATAAACATGCCTCTATAAAAAAAAAAAGTGTATGCTTCCCACAAAAAGACTAGGAGTTCATTAAAAAAAAAAAAATTAACTCGAATGGATCACATACTCTAAGTAAGAGCTGAAACATAAATCTTTGTGACCATGGATAAGACAAAGGTTTCACAAGTAAGATACCAAAGTGGAAACAAAGAAAAAAATAAGCTGGACTTCTTCAAAATTGAACTTTTGTGCTTTAAAGGACATGATTAAGAAAGTGAAAAAAAATCCAGAAAGGGTGAAAATATTTACAAACTACATCAAGTAAGGAACATTTCTCCAGAGGTAATACATAAATGAATGGCTAACAAGATTGGCCATCAAGGAAATGCAAATTAAAACCACTAGACAGTTGTGTGAGGCAGTAGGTTGCAAAGGGACATGGAAGAATTTTCATGAAGAGGGAAATGTTTTACATCTTGATGCGGCGTATACAATTTGTCAAAAGTCTTCAACCTGTACAGTTAAAGTCCACTAATTTTATTATATGTAAATTATACTCCAATTTATAAAAAGTGTGAGCATCTAGAGGAAAACAAGTTTCAAATATGTTCAGTTACCTACCTATTATATAAACAGTAAAAATTGAAAGAAAAACATTTTCTGTTAGAACAAATTAAGTGCCAATTAATTGATACAAATATTTTTTTAGAAATAGGGAAAACAACCAAAGCACACATTTTGGGTTGTTTCTGCTATACACTGTGGGTTTAACAGAAAACATTACTTTGGCCGCTAAAATATAAAATATTCACATTAGAGCCTCCCTGTGGCGCAAGGGTTAAAGTCTCAGCGCTATCAAGCTATCGCAGGCCCTAACCCACATGGCACAGCAGACCTCTCCTGTCTCACAGGCTGCTTCCCCTCAGCAGTGTATTTCAGTAAATCCACCTGTTCTCTCCACTCTGTGAAGTCTCTCACCCCTCGCACATCTGGCTTACACCCCAGTTCTTGTATGCATAAATAAATAACAATAAATATTTAAAAAAATAAAATGATCACATTAGATGTCATACTGTACTATCAATGGTACCTGAACAATTACATTTAGCAAATATTGAATGACCACAAAAAATAGTTCTATAGAAAACTACTGTGGTTCATAAAAATGTCTATGAAACTGGTGACATCTTAATAGCTGATTTCCAGGGGTCATTACAACAATTTTGTTATATCAGTATTAGTTGTCTGACATGACTTTGCATAACTACCTATAAGTAACTAAAGTTCATAACCTTTGGGAAAAAAAAATCTTTGCTTATCCACATATCACTTATAAAGAAAAAATAGGTGAAACTTCCTTCTTTAAACATTCCTTTTAATAATATTGTAAATTATAATACACTCCAGATACACTATTAAGAACTAAGGCAAGTAAAGACAACAGTCACACTGTGCGACTTCAATAAAAAATTTATAATTTCAACAATTCAGTAGAAAAATCATAGATTCACTTACCTCATCATCATCATCAGAATCACTCCCAAACACTGATGGTTTTTGCAAAACAGGGTGCAACTGCTGTGCTTTCTTTGGCAAAATAAGCCCATACCTGCATATTTTTTTTGAAATAGAAATTACACCGTTATATGTTAAAAAATAATACATCTACTACTTCTCCAGATGAAGCTACCAAGTTAAAACATGTTAGTGTATAAAAACATAACAGCTTCTATCAGTGATAGTCTATCTCAAAATTCTAAAATGCCAAAAGATTTTGTAACTGCTCTAAGTGATTATTTGTGAACAAGGGCCAAACTCAAAACACCATTTTAATTAAGGAAGAGAACTGAAGACTTCAGAAATGCTTTAGATGGTGAAATTACTATACCGTTTTCAAAAGAACGGGTTAGTGAAAAGCTCAGTTCAAGTCCACTAAAAACAAAAACAATCCAAATCATCCTTGTGGTGGAACAAGAGTGAAAAGAAAAGCTAATTTCCCCCCCACCCCCTACTGGCTAATTACACAGCTTAGAGAAGTTTTTGCATGATGTTAACACAAAAAACTTTTTAAAGATACAAGTAGCCATAACTAAAATTCCCATTACACTTTATTAAGCTCACTTGCTTTGTCTTGGAGCATCTGAGAACCATCCCACCAGATCCAACTCATTTATTTCTCACGTTTTGGTCTTTAAGATCACGGGAAGCCGCATCAGAACTAAGGATTATACATCAAAAGTAAAACTTCCAAGAATATAAATTATTTGTCTGTTTTGCGATAACGGACACCCCAATTCCCTATATGCCTACCCTTATCTGTGGTTTCTCAGCACAACATTCCTAAAAGAAGAAGGGAGGGCGGGAATCAGGACTTGAGCTGCCCAGGAGAACAAGGCCCTCTAAGGAGGCCAAGAATTGTCTCTTCTCATTGCCCCTGAAAGCATCCAACCGGGGAGAAACTCAAGCGCGGGGTAGGAAGCAAGACTGAGGGGCCTCAGACCGAGCTTTTGGAAAATAGAAAAGTCTCGCTCTCTGCCCCTCAGCCTAACTTCCTTTATTTCCTCACAAGTTTCTCCCTCAAACTTCGGGCTTCCAGCCTGGAAAATGGGAGGATGGGGGTGGGGATGGGGAATATGTTCCTCAGGATCTCTCGCTTTTTCCCGTTTCTATCCCTGACGACACAGCCCCTTCACTTTCAGCGCATTTTTACTCCTCGTCCAAAGACACAGTCGGCTGATTTCTCATTCCCCAGCCTGACCCTAACTCCCGAATCACTCACTGCCTGCCCGGAATCGCCATCTTGCTCCCGTCTTCGCTGAACGTGGCCGACGCTGACGTGACGCTGACGTCGTTACGTAAACTCTCGCGCGGCTTTGGGCACCGAGAATCCTCCTAGCGGCTAAGTGGCTTGAGTCGCAGCCTCACAGCCGCAATTGTTTGGGACCTGGCTGGTTTTCTCGACTATAGAGAGAAGAAATCAAAATTCCAGACCAGTGGTTCTCAAAGTGTGGACTTAGTACGAGCAGCGATAACATCACTTGGGAATTTGATCGAGCCGCAGCTTCTCAGGCCACGTCCCTGTCCTACTCAGTCAAACTCTGGGATGAGGCTCAACTCAATTTTGGGGACCCCTGCAGGTAATTCTGATACTCAAGTTAAAAACAGCTCTCCCAGGCTATCGTTTTTTTTTTCTTCTTCTTTCACTTCTGAGGCATTCCATATAAGTGTACTTAGCTCAGGGGTATTTGGCAGAAGATAAAAATCTGTTTGCTAATACAACAAATGTTGGCGAGGATGTGGAGAAAAAGGAACTCTCCTGCACTGTTGGTGGGAGTGCAAACTGGCCCAACCACTATGGAGAGCTGTGTGGAGATTCCTCAACCTACTAAACATAGAGCTGCCATATGATCCAGCAATTCCACTCCTAGGTATCTACCCAAAGGACACAGAAACATCAATTCCAAAGAGCACCTGCACGCCTATGTTTATAGCAGCACTATTTACAATAGCTAAGCTTTGGAAACAACCCAAATGCCCAAAAATAGATGACTGGATCAAGAAGATGTGGTACATATATACTATGGAATATTACTCAGCATTCAAAAAAGATAAACACATGCAATTTGCAGCAACATGGATGGCGCTGGAAGGGATCATGCTCAGCGAAATAAGCCAGAAAGAAAAAGAAAAATCTCGGATGGTCTCACTTATAGCAGGAATTTAGAAAACCTAAATAAGGGACTAGGAAAAAGACTAATAATAATAAAGTAAAAATCAAAATCAATAAGCAACTATAAACCAGAGTCACACTGGAGAGGGGGGAGAGGAGGGAGTAGGATCAAAACAAGGGGGTGGAGTGGGGATTGTGTGGGGACTATAACCAAGGTGAAAATGCATACATTGTGCGAAAATGAAAAATGATGTAAAAATATATAAAATTAAAAAAAGAAAAAAGAAAACAAAATGACAAATCACAGACTGTGAGAAAGTATTTGCAATAAGTGTGTAATGGCTAATTTTATGTGTCCTCTTGTTTGAGTTCAGATAATCCCAAATAATAAAATATTTCTGGGTGGAAAAAAAGGTGTCATTACTCAATAAATTCTTGACATACAAAGTGAAAAAAAGGGCCTCCCCAGTGGCGCAGAGGTTAAGCGCGAAGCTGCCCACGGCCTCTGCAGCGCCGGTTCGATCCCCGGCTGCTCCCTGGCCACCGGAGGAGGGTCCCACATGGCGCACAGACCTCTCCTGCCGCCCGCTGCTCCCCTCAGCAGTGCCTAATTCGGTCCTTCTGCCTGCTCTGCTCCCTGCTCTGGCTCTGGTGAATTCTCTCACCCTCCCACGCTTCTAACTGTACCCAGTGCTTGTATAAGTAAATAAATAAATCTTTAATAAAAAAAAAATCTATTTGCTAATGGTAGCCCGTCATGAAACCAAAATTATTAGTAACACCAATACAGTTCCTGGTGCCACTGGGTATAGAAAACAAAATCATATAGGATGCTTTTTTTTTTTAATTTTAAGGTAACACTGGTTTATAACGTTGTATGTGACTCAAAGGCATAGAATCACACCTTCCCAGATGGACTCACAGATTCCCCTAAACCCAGAGTCCTCCACTACGGTCCAGTGGGCCCCCCTTTCCCTCGTGGCTCTCCCCTTTCCCTCTTCATATACAGTATGGAGGTGGGGGGAGGAATTCCAGCCACTTTTCATATGTGCACCTGCTCACTTTTGGCCCATTTCAAGATATCTAACTATAGTTGTGGATTTTTCTGTTTCTTCTTTTAATTCTATCAGTTTTTTTCTTTTATGTATTTTGAAGTTCTGTTAGGTATATAAAACTTTAGTATTGTTATGTTCTCTTACATTGACCCTCTTCACTCTTTTATGTACTTTATCTGATAATTCACACACCAGGATTGATTGCATACAATCTTTTTCCATCCTTATACTTTTAGCCTATTTATTTGTGTCCTTATTTCAAAATGGATCTCTTGTTACAGCAAGCACTTAGGTCTTGCTTTTTTTAAAAATCCAATTTGACCATCTCTTCCTTTTATTTTTTTTTATTTTTTTTTAAATGCACCGTGATCTCAGTGCGTTTTTTTTTTTTTTTTTTAATTTTCTGGAGGCATGTTATTTATTTATTTATTTGTTTGTTTGTTTGTTTGATTTATACATGCACTGGGTACAGTCAGAAGCACGGGAGGGTGAGAGAATTCACCAGAGCCAGAGCGGGGCGCAGAGCAGGCAGAGGGACCGAGGTACACTGCTGAGGGGAGCAGCGGGCGGCAGGAGAGGTCTGTGCGCCATGTGGGCCCCTCCTCTGAGCCGGGGATCGAACCGGCGCCACAGAGGCCGCGGGCAGCTTCGCAACCCAGCGCTCAACCGCTGCGCCACCGGGGAGGCCCCATCTCTTCCTTTTAATTTGGATGTGCAGAACATTTTCATTAGGTGATTATCAGTATACCTGTAATTTTTTTTCTCTTGTACCCTTCTGTTCTTTGCCCATTGCCTCCGTCTTCCCTCCGTTGCCCTCTTTAAATGTTGCCTTAGAGTTTCTAGTATACTTCTGTAGCACCAACAAGGCACAGAGCAGGTTCTCTATGAATCCAGGCAGGCGGGTAAAGAAGGAGTCCTGGAGCCCTCAGTGGCTTTTTCGGGCTTTTAATGATCTTTCTACACCATTTGTAATGAGGCAACCAGGTGCAGGGCAGGCAGGGGGAGCTAGGGGGGGCGAATCTTCACTCTTTCTGGGCTCTTTTGGCTCTCTTGTGTTTTCTCCACAGCTCACTACTGCAATGCACCCCCACAGTCTTCTGCTTCCTCCTCCTCTGCTGCTGCACATATATGCTCAGTCTCTGGCTCATGCACATCCACTCATGCACATGCACACCACACTCCAGGTACTTCCATCAGGGCTGCATGTAAGACTACAGGTGTTGCTCATTGATGCTAATGGCGGGAGGGTGGAAAAAACCTGACAACTTCCACATGCTCTACACCATGCTTAACTTATCACAGCTTACCTTCACATTTATGTACAATATAAGAAACTTACAAAAATATATTCCAGTTTTCTCTCTTAGATTTGTACGATGTTGTTACACATTTTATGTTATAAATGCACAATAAATTTTTAATATTTTTGCTTTCAGCAGTCAATTGTCTTTCAAAAATATTTTTAAAATAAGAATACCATGGTTACCCACATATTTACCATTGCCAGTATTTCTATATCTTTATGTAGATCCAGATTTTTACCTAGTGTAATTACCTTTAAAAAATATATTTAAATATACATATGTATATATAAGTATATAATATATTTTTATTGTATCATATTTCACTATCATGAAAAAATAAAAAGATTTAAGAAACATACCATATTGGGCTTCTCCAGAGAAATAGAGTCAATATGGGGGGAGGAAGGAGAGAGAGAATTAAGGAATCAGCTGGTACAATTATGGAGGATCACCAGTCCCAAGATACTCAGTTGGCAAGCTGGAAACCCAGGAGAGTTGATAGTGTAGCTCTAATCAATACCCAGGGAGAGCCAGTGTTTTCATATTGATTTGTCAAGAGACCAGAAAGTCAAATGGGAAGGTGCTGAAAGTCACAATACCTCTTGATACAGTTAGATCATGGTGAATTGATATCAGCAAAAATGGGTAAAGATAATAGAACTATGTTCAGGAAGATGCGATTCTAGAAGCTGGAAGTTCATGATAAAGCCATCAGCAAATTCTGTATTTGGTGAGAGCCTCTTCCTGATTGATAGTAGTCTTCTCTCTGGGTCTTCACATGGCAGAAGGGGTAATCACCTTTGTAAAAATAGCTTTATTTAGATAAACTTCGTATACGATGTATATTCAGAGAGTTGTGCTACCATCACCATAAGGATACCCCAAAAAGAAATCATGTATGCATTAATCATTCCCATATCCCCTAAGCAGCCAAGGAACCCCCAAACCACCTAAGCTTAGGCAACCACTAGTTTACTTCCATTTGCATGGACTTGTAGTTCTGCAGTTTTGTATGGACTTGTAGTTCTGTAGTTTTGCTCCACATTTTTTGTAACTCTGTTATTATGTATATAACTTATGTTTTCTTTTTTTTGTGGGACCCTCACGGTGGCCAGGGAATGAACTGGCGCTGCAGAGGCTGCGGGCAGCCTCGCAGCCCAGCGCTCAACCGCTGTGCCACCAGGGGAGGCCCATAAATTATGTCTTCTTAATTAATTGACCCCCTTTTCATTATAAAATGACCTTTTTTATCCTGGTAATGTTCTTTGCTCTGAAATCTGCTTGGTGTGATATTAGAACTCCAGAAGTTTTCTTTTGACACTGACTCCAAGGAAAGCAAAAAGATGTTTTAGAAAAGGAAATAATTATAATTAAATGGCTAAGCTCTAAATAGCATAAGTAATAATGGTCATGCAAACCCTGAATATTGATCTATTAAAATCTTAATTACAATGTAACTATATTGGGAAGAAAAGAGGGATAGAAAGTGTGTGTGTAGATGCACATGCTGAGGAAGAAACTGAATCTTTGTATTATGTGTGTGGAGGCACATGCTTAGGAAGGAACTAAATCTTTGTATTGCCTCATGGCAAATTAACAGATATTACTTCAATCATAAACACACCAAAAACAAAAGCAAAAGCAGCCACATACACAGCATCTTATTTAACAATATGGTGGTACAAATCAAAATTACAGTAAAAATAAGGGTTGTCAAACATTTTATGCAAAGGCCAAATAGTTAATATTTAGACTTTGTTGATCATAGATCTCTGACAACTACTGAACTCTACCCTCAGGGTGAAAGCAGTCAAAAACAATATAGACATGGCTTTTCAATAAAACTTTATTTACTGTAATAGACAACTGACCAGATTTAGCCCTATAGGTTATTTATTAACACCTGAGCTAAAAGAATTGAAAGTAGTTGACTCAGAAGGAAGGGAAATAGGGGGAGGTGGACTAAGAAATGTTCTGGTTTAACAGACTCTGTACAAAAGAATGCCCCCTTAAAAGATGAGCATTTGATACTTAGCTTAAAATAAAAATAATCAATAAAGGGTAAAAATAAAGCCCCCGAGCAAGGCTATCTGACTCTTGCTTAAAGAGACAGAACAGGGAATTAGTTACACAAAATTATCTAGTGGACAACTCAATATTCTATAAAATGTGCACTTTTGAATTGGTGTATTGAATTTTGTATTCTCCCCTTGCCTTTGGGATGTTGTAATAGTTTTTAGATTTCCCAAAGCCAGAAGGCTGATTTCTCAGATACAGTGTTGCAAAGAGTTCTACAATCACTTAGCAAGGCCTCTAGCAAAGGCGGTACTTGAAGCAGTGAATCAGAGACACAGAAAAGACTCTTAATATTTGAACCCAAGTTTGGGAAACTTAATTGAAGATACTGTAAGGACAGAAGCAGAATAAACCAGTAAAAAGAAGTATCACAGCATCATCATTACCAACTGTCCTTGACTTGCAGAAATGAAACTTCAAGAACAGAATAGTTGACTGGAATTGGATCAAAGGTATCTGTGGGAACCTCAGCACCCTAATTAATGTGTTTTCCATTTAATCCTTTGACATTAATGTTACTTCCCTACTCTTTCAGTCTCTGCTTCTCTGTGCCCATTCTTTCCCCTAACCAACTACTGGCTTTCTACAGCTTTACCGATCAGATTCTCCTAACTTGGAGTATGTGACAAACTTGTTTCAACTTGTCTAAGGCCTACCATGACACTTTGGACTTCTCTAAACACTTACTATCCTTCTGGATACTGCTCTTATTGCTATTTCTGCGTGTGATTTATCCATAGTTTGGGTACTATTTTAATTAGGCCATTTCAGTATTGGTCTCCTTTTGGCAAGGGGTCAACTCCAATTCAAATAGCTGTGGCTGGAGAGACCTGACTACTTGAAAGAAAATGTGGCCACCTTAAAGAAAAGGTGGCAGGAGAATCTAAGCTCAGGCAGCAGATGTAGGAGAGGTATAGGATGGTTAATTACTAGGACTCACTGAGTCATGCCTAAGGACAAAGAAATAGTTAATATTTAATAAATTGACCTAGTCTGCAAAGACAGTTCTTAATAATAGGATGAAGTGGAAGGGAGAAGAACACAGCTAATAAAGTTGTGGTGTGAGGTTAGATGAAAGTGAAATGGCATTTGGCCTCCCTGGTGGTGCAAGGGGTTAAGATGCAACCTATGAAGCTATCAGCAGCCTCAAATGGTGCAGCAGACCTCTCCTGACTCACCCACTGCTCCCCTCAGCAATGTTTTTCAGTCAGTCTGCCTATTCTGTTCCCCACTCTGTCTCTGGTGAATCCTCTCACCACTTAAACCTCTGGCCTGTACCCCAGCTCTTGTATACATAAATAAATAAATCTTTAAAAAAATTAAAAAAAAAAATAAAAGTGAAATGGCATAAACCTTATGTAAGAAAAATGGAAATTCTCAAAACTACCTACAACAGGTCTTCTGTGATCAGGTATGTCTGTAGAAGTAAGGGCAACTGATTGCTTGATTGTATTTATATAGATTGAGAGGGAAGAGAAGTCAATCATAAGACCCTTCATATTATATAACTCCATTCATATAAAATTTCAAAACAGGCAAATTCATAGGGAAGGCAATGGACATGGGATAAAATGGAGGAAGCCCTTTGCCTACCCTCCTGGTAACCTCATGAACTGTAGACTTTTAAGTGGGTAAATTGTATAGTATGTGAGTTATATTTCAATAAAACTGTTAAAAGAGCTAATAAGAGGGCCTCCCTGGTGGCGCAGCGGTTGAGCGCTGGGTTGCGAGGCTGCCCGCAGCCTCTGCAGCGCTGGTTCGATCCCCAGCTGCTCCCCGGCCACCGGAGGAGGGTCCCACATGGTGCGCAGACCTCTCCTGCCGCCCGCTGCTCCCCTCAGCAGTGTACTTCGGTCCTTCTGCCTGCTCTGCTCCCTGCTCTGGCTCTGGTGAATTCTCTCACACTCCCGCGCTTCTGACTGTACCCAGTGCTTGTACAAATAAATAAATAAATAAATAGATAGATAAATAAATAAATCTTTAAAAAAAAAAAAAGAGCTAATAAGAGCTTTTCTTGAGATTCCAATATCATCTTGAAACCTTATGTTGTTTCTGAACTATGAAAGTCATAATTATAAAGGAAAGTGGTCTGAATGGTGTACACCATTCAGTGTTATTGTTACCTGTAAGCTATGGAGAAAAAGTCAACAATAATCCAATTAGTTAAGTCTAATCTTCAAAGTGTATGTAAATATAAGTAAATCAATAAATCTATTAGCAGTCAAATAAATGTTTTTAAATATAATTCCTTATTTAAATTTTTCTCAAGTATAAATAATATTCTCTTCATTAAAAGGGTAAGCTCTTGATGTTAAGGGGCAGAATTTATTTGAATGATGGTTCAATAAATTCAAACAACCTGCCTTGCTGATTGCTAATTTTAAGTAGTTTCCAAGAGACTGATAGCATAGTCATTAGCATAGTAAAGTCTGGAAAGTGAGAAGCCTGGGGTGCCGGCAAGGACAGTAAAACCAGAAATTTGGATGTTTGGCTGCTAGGTTCACCTTGCCTGTTACAGCTGTCCTAACTTGGGTAGCGCGCACTCTAAGTCTGCTTTCTCATTTAAAAAAATTATTTGTAAAATGAGGGATAATGACGTTTAGGCTGCCTATCATACAGGTTAAATGGGAGACCCAAGTGAATTAGTATGTGAAAACATGTCAAACAAGTTAAAGAACCATGCAAATATATACATTTTGTTTTCATTAAGTTATATGCCACTTAGTTAACTTAATTCCCATGATAATGGTTTAAAAGGTAAAATTCTGCAAAGTCTTTCCCTCCTTGCTGCCTAAAATGCCATTTGTATTCACAAGTAAATTCTTTACAAGCTTGTTCTGAAGTCATCAGGATATGTGGCTATCAGTTTAATATCTTCAAGAACATTGTTCCTAGAAATATTGCTGCAAATGCCCTAAAAAGTCCTCTTCCAAATATGAAACTGGCTTATAGGTTAAAACTGGGCATGTGATCATCCAAGAGATGAGGACTGTTAATAAAACAGCCATCTTATCAGGAAAGGTTAAAAGGGACCGCCAATCTCAAATTATAAGATGTTTGGACCACATCACATTTTGTCAACCAAATAAAGAAAATGAAGTTTAATTTCCCAAAATGTTATTAAAAATGGACTCTGTCATCAGACATCTTATTGCAAAGATGAAATCTCACAGCAGAGCAGTAAAGTTTACTGTAATAACAAGTTTTAAACAGATATAAGTTCTTTTTGCAATTCTTGAACTTGAGAGGTTTTCATCATAAAAATAAGCATGCTTTTATCCCCTTCCAGAGTCATGGACAAACATTTTCCCACAAGAATTTCTGTTCATTGAAATGACTTTTACATTGTTAAGTAAGAGTGGGAGGTGGAAAAGGGGGAGACGTGGTATTCATATTAAGTCTTTGGAAAGTTAGAAAAACAATTCCCAGTCCATTTCTTAAAACCTTTATTATTTGGTTTGTTTTTGATGTAAAAACTCATTTTCTCTCAATCCCCACTTTTGTCTTTACTTTCTACTTAAAAGAATTAAAATAACCAGCCAATCAACCATAATAGTCCCATGGTAGATACGAAGCTAACGCTAAATATATTCAATAATATGCATGTGGTTATAGCTACCTAAACAGGTCATTTTTTAGATCAAATTTCTCCTTAGGTAGCAGTTTTGGTTTTGGAAAGTGCTGAGGTAATTGTCTAGGAGCAGAATATGTCTATGTGGCAATTAAAATTGTTTTATACTTAACAAACAAAACTGAACATAACAAAGGTATCCAAAATACAGTATCCATTCCATTAGCATTTCCTAGAGAGCTCCTGGCATTTTTGCATACATATAAGAGTCAGTCTTGGAGGGTAATGGGGGTGTAATACCACAATTTAGTTTTTTACTTAGCTTTGTTAGAGCTATACAGATGTGTATCCAGTGGTACAGGTATTCTATAACAATATTACCAACTTTCCATACTTCAATTCGAGAATGACCTGCACCAAAAAAAAAAGTAATATGGACAGTTTTATACTTTGATTATTAAAATGTAAGTTCCAGCATTATAATGAAAGTTCATTAAATATGTTTTGGGTCAAAACCATAGCAGAATCTTACTTACATAGGTAAAATTATAGGAAAGTGGTAAATACATTTTGACATATTCATTTAATGGAATACTGTAAAACATTTAAAAAAATTTTTTTATTAAAAAAATTTTAAATTGTATATATTTTTTATTTTTACATCATTTTTTCATTTTTGCACAATATATGCATTTTCATCTTGGTAATAGTCCCCATACAATTCCCACCACCTTTGTTTTGATCCTACTCCCTTTTCCCCCTGCCGTAGTGTGTCTCTGGTTTATAGTTGCTTGTTGATTTTGATTTTTACTTTATAATAATTAGTCTTTTTCCTGGTCCCTTATTTAGGTTTTCTAATTCCTGTTGTGAGTGAGACCATCCGGTATTTTTCTTTTTCATTCTGGCTTATTTCACTGAACATGATCCCTTCTAGCTCCATCCATGTTGCTGCAAATTGCAGTTTATCTTTTTTGATTGATGAGTAATATGGAATACTATATAACATCTAACAAAATTATAGAACTAGAGCTATAAATATAATTGTGGATAAATCTCAAAAACATATTGTATACAAAAAAATAAGTGGTACCATTATATGCTTATGAATATAATTAAAAAACAATTCAAAAACCTGCAAAATATTACATAGTGTACAGATTCTAAAATTTTATAGTACACAAAGGTACTGTCTTTTCTCTTAATTATAAGTGTCCAATAAATGTGGAATTGAAGCAACATTAAATTACGCATTAAGTTAGGTTTTTCAAATACTAAAAGTCTTTTCAGGTTGCAGTAGAGTAACATTAGTGAGTGAATTGTGAATAAAAACAACAAATGCTGGTCATAGGGCACATTAAAAATACTTGATTTACCTTATGTGATGGTAATACTGGACCAATTAGCATACATAATTATAATATTAAGATGCATTTGTTGTAGCTGACCCCTTTTTGTCTTAATAACCTCCTGGAACCTTTTTAAAATAATACTATAGGTTTCAAAAATTCCCTAGATTATATTTAATGTTCCAATGTTATGAAACTAGACGGAGTGTTTACTCTGGAACACTCCTAAAACTAGTCCTAATTTTTGGAGACAAAACAATTCTGCTGTTCCCCACAGCTTTTATTTTGCCTTTCCTAGATCCCCATTAAGAACTCTGCTCCACTGATAATTGCCAGTGCTCTTATCAGAACATCCAAATGAACAGACCCATATCAACAACCATTATTAAGCTAGTTGATCATCTCCATGGTGATTCCAGGCCAGTGGGATGGAAAGTGAGGTCGCTTCCTTTCACAAATCCTGTTGCTTATTTCCTGTCTTATTGTTACTGAGGACAGAAACTACGAACCTGCCTAGGCAGCGGTTCTTTCCCTGCCCTTTACAGTGAGATTGATTAGCTAACAATTGACTCTAATGATTGCTCTAAAGAAGGCTCTATCCTTCGAGTTTCCATCAACAATGGTTGGGCGCTATTGCCCTCTTGTGGTGAATAGATGCAGATCTTTGCAGTTCTGCAGATGAAAGCCAGTTTGCAAAGGTTTGGCTATTCTTTCAAACATATATACTACTATTTTTTTCCTAACCATAAGAAACTATGTTATTTTACTTTGGCTTGATAAAGATTATAGTAGATTACTTGAAGACATATAAATTGTTAAGAATTGTTAGGTCAAACTTGGAATCTATATATCTTTTAATTCAGAAATACTTAATGGTATTTTTCTAGGTTTTAGTTTAATCAAACTTTTAATTATATAAGGAATACATTTTGCTGAAAATATTGAATAATGTAGGATATTCCTAAATTGAAATTCTATTCATAGATCCCTGCTTTAATACTTTAAAGTTAAATTCTTTGGGAATTATAGACAATTAGAAAGATGGACAAAGCAAAAAGAATCATTAAATTTCAAGTCCAAAAGTTAAAGTGTAACTGCTACTTTAACTAAAAAATATTTCAAGATAAATAGCATTTATTGAATGCTCCTCTCCTTAATCATTAGTTCTCTCTGTTTTAGTTTTCTTATTTCTATTGTTTTACCCATGTCACCGCTTAACATTATTGCCCTACACAATAAGCTGAAGGCCCATGAAAATTTATATGCTTTACAGGGTATGTGTGTGAAGTTTCAAACAGTTTTTATATGGACAGGAGACTCATATTTGAGAAGAACTCCTAAGTGCCATGTTAATTGGGCATTTGATGTCATTCATTTAAGGTGGCTGAAAAGAAACTGTAGAGTGCTGCTTCCCTGCTTATCAGGGATCAGTTTTAAATAATGAAGTGTTGTAGTCCCTATTTTCATAAAGTCATTAATGAAGTTCAGATTCCTCAGAAAAAAGGAATACAGATTTAAGGGTAACTGGTTTCTAGGAATATACTGTTATCTCTACTTTTAAACCCCTCAGGCAAACAGAAACTCCAGAAATTCATTATGACTAAACCCCACTCCAAAAAATAGAGGGATGAATAAGAAGAACAGAATAAGGCAAGGGATAAAATCACAAAAAGACAAACAAATTGGCAAATACAGATGCCAATGTATTAATATTACTCTAAATGTAAATGGACTAAACTTATCAATAAAAAGACACAGACTCACAGGCTGGATTAAAAAATGAAATCCAACCATCTTCTGTCTCCAGGAAACATACACTAAAAGTAAAATGTTGGAAAACAATCCTATAAGCAAATGGACCAAAAAAGAAGAAACACATTTAACTACAAAAGATAAAGATACACTGAAAGTAAAAAGGTTGGAAAACAATCCTATAAACAAATGGAACAAAAAAGAAGGCAGGAACAGCTATACTTATATCGGATGAAATAGACTTCAAACTAAAAAGGTAAAAAGAGACAACAATGGACACTAAATTATGATTAAAGGGACAGTATATCAGGAAGATTAGCATTCATCAACATGTACTCACCAAATGAAGGGGCACCAAAATATATAAGACAATTATTATCAGCTCTGAAAATAGACATTAGAGAAAAATACATATACTGTAGGAGATTTCAACACCCTCTTCTCCCCAATGGACAGATCAAAGTGACAAAAAATAAGGAAAGACACTAGAGCCCTAAATAAAGACCTAGACCTCATGGACTTAACAGACATCTATAGGACACTGTACCCCCCAAAATACCAATACACATTTTTCTCAAGTGGGCCTGGAACATTCTCTAGACTCAATCACATATTGGGCCACAAGACAAACATCAACAGGTACATTAAGATCAAAATCATTCCAACTATATTCTCTGTACATAAAGGCATCAAACTAGAAATAAATCATGAAAAGAAAGCAAGGAACCCACCCACTTCATGGAGATTAAAATCCACACTACTGGAAGACCTTTGGATTAAGGATTAAGGAGGAGAACAAAGAAGAAATTAAAAAATGAATGACAATAAGGACACCACTTTCCAGAATGTATGGAATAAGCAAAAGCAGTAATGAGAGGAATGTATATAGCAATACAGGCTCACATCAAGAAATAAGAAAGAACTCAAAGAAACAATCCAATCCCCCATCTCAAAGAACTGGAAAAAGGACCAACCTCCCCCCCAAAAAAAAGTAGAATAAAGGAAATAATAAAAATCAAAGCAAAAATAAATGAAACAGAAGTTAAAAAAAAATTCAAAAGATCAACGAAACCAAAAGTTGGTTCTTCAAAAAAAAAAAAATAAACAAAATAGACAAACCTCTAGCCAGACTTACAAAGAAAAAAATGGGAGAAAACACAAATAAATAGAATCATAAATGAAAGAGGAGAAATTACAACACTCATTAGAAATCAAAAGAATAATCAGAAACTACTATGAACAGTTATATGGAAACAAGTTCAACAATCTAGAGGAGATGGACAAATTCCTACAACTCTACAATCACCCAAAGCTAGATAAAGAAGAAATAGAACACCTAAACAGTTTAGACCAATTACAAGCAGTGAAATTGAAATGTTAATCAAAACCCTCCCCAAAAACAAAAGCCCAGGACCTGATGGATTTACAAATGAATTCTACCAAACATTCAGAACCCAACTACTGCCTATCCTTCACAAGCTCTTTCAAAAATTGAGAAGGAAGGGACAATACGAAACATGTTCTATGAAGCTAACATTACACTAATACCAAAACTGAACAAGGACAACACAAAAAAAGAAAACTACAGGCCAATCTCTCTAATGAACACTGAGGTAAAAATCCATAATAAAATTTTAGCTATCAGAATCCAACAATGTATCCATAATATAATTCACCATGACCAAGTAGGATTTATTCCAGGGACACAAGGATGGTTCAACATCCAAAAATGAATCAATGTAATCCAACACATGAACAAAAAGAAATATAAAAACCATATGATAATATCAATAGATGCTGAGAAAACTTTCAACAAAGTACAACACCCACTTATGATAAAGGCCCTTGAAATTCTTGGAATACAAGGAACATACCTCAACATCATAAAGGCCATATATGACAACCCCATAGACAATATCATTCTCAATAGTGAGAAGTTGAATGCAGTTCCATTAAGGTCTGGAACAAGACAAGAATGTCCACTCTCACCACTGCTTTTCAATACAATATTGGAAGAGCAATAAGACAAGAGAAAGATATACAAGGAACCCAAATAGGCAAGGAAGAAGTCAAACTATCACTATTTGCAGATGATATGATAATATATATAGAGAACCCCAAAAACTCCACAGAAAAACTAATCAAACTAATCAATTAGTTTCGTAAAGTGGCAGGATACAAAATCAACACTCAAAAATCAGTAGCCTTCCTATACACAAACAATAAATCTGAAGAAGAAGAAATCAAAAAACTATCCCTTTTATTATTGAAACAAAAAAAATTCAAATACTTCGGAATAAACCTAACGAAAGAGGTAAAGGACCTATACAAAGAAAACTATAAAACACTGTTAAAAGAAGTAGAAGAGGGCCTCCCCGGTGGCGCAGCAGTTGAGCGCTGGGCTGCGAAGCTGCCCACAGTCTCTGCAGTGCTGGTCCGATCCCCGGTTGCTGGGCGAGGGTCCCACATGGTGTGCAGACCTCTCCTGCCACCCGCTGTTCCCCTCAGCAGTGTATTTCATTAGTCTGCCTGTTCTGTTCCCCACTCTGGCTCTGGTGAATTCTCTCACCCTCTGTGCTTCTGACTGTACCCAGTGCTTGTATAAATAAATAAATAAATAAATAAATAAATAAATAAATAAATAAATAAATAAATAAATAAATCTTAAAAAAAAAAAAAGAAATAACGTTATCAAAATGGCCATCCTACCAAAAGCAATTTGTAGATTCAATGCTATTCCAATAAAAATTTCAATGACATTCTTCAAAGAAATAGAACAAATATTGATGAAATTCATATGGAGCCACCAAAACCCCCAAATAACCAAAGCTCTCCTGAAAAAAAGAGAAGGGAATGGAGGCATCACACTCCCAGACTTCAAACTATACTATAAAGCCATAATAATCAAAACTGCACGGTATTGGAACAAGAACAGACACATGGATCATTGGAACCAAATAGAAAATCCAGAAATAAACCCACAGATTTACAGTCAACTAATCTTTAACAAAGGAGCATAGAATATGCAATGGAGCAAAGAAAGATTGTTCAATAAATGGCGCTGGGAAAACTGGGTCACTACATGCAAAAGAATGAAGCTTGACTACTACCTCACTCTATGCACAAAAACAAACTCAAAATGGATTAAAGAACTAGACATAAGACCTGAAACCATAAAATATATAGAAGGAAATATAGGTGAATCACTACATGGCATACACCTCAGTAACATCTTTAAAGACGCATCACCCAAAACAGTGATAGCAAAGGCAAAGATAAACAGCTGGGACTACATCAAATTAAAGAGCTTCTGTATAGCAAAAGAGATAGTAACCAAAATAAAGAGTCACCCTCTGGACTGGGAGAAAATTTTTGCACACAACACTAATGATAAAGGACACAAAAATCTACAGAGAGCTGAAGAGACTCAACAAAATCAAAGTAAACAACCCAGTCAAAAAATGGGCAGAAGAGCTAAAAAGAAACTTCTCCAAAGAGGAAATGTGCAAATGGCCAGCAGGCATATGGAAAAACGTTCAGCATCACTTGTAATCAGGGAAATGCAAATCAAAACTACAATGAGATACCATCTTATACTAGTGAGATCGGCACATATTAAAAAAACTAGCAACAACAAATGTTGGCGAGGATGTGCAAAAAAAGGAACTCTCCTGCACTGCTGGTGGGAGTGCAAACTGGTCCAAACACTATGGAGAGCTGTGTGGAGATTCCTCTGTTTGCTAAAAATGGAGCTTCCATATGATCCAGCAATTCCACTCCTAGGCATTTACCCAAATGACACAGAAACATTAATTCAAAAGGGCACCTGCACCCCTATGTTTATAGCAGCACTGTTTACAATAGCTAAGCTATGGAAACAACCAAATGCCCAAAAATCGATGACTGGATCAAGAAGATGTGGTACATATACACAATGGAATATTACTCAGCAATCAAAAAGGTAAACTCATGCAATTTGCAGCAACATGGATGGAGCTGGAAGGGATCAGCGAAATAAGCCAGAAAGAAGAAGAAAAATACTGGATGTTCTCACTTGTAGCAGGAATTTAGAAAACCTAAATAAGGGACTAGGAAAAAGACAATTATAATAAAGTAAAAATCAAAATCAACAAGCAACTATAAACCAGGGACACACTACGGGCTTGGGGGGCAGGGGAGAAAGGGTTATGGTCAAAATAAGGGGGGGGTGGGAATTGTGTGGGGACTATAACCGAGACGAAAATGCATACATTGTGCAAAAATGAAAAATGATGTAAAAAAATATAAAATAAAAAAATTCTTTTCTAGCAGTATTTCTATGACTAAGATGAAATGGAGTGAAACTTGGCAACAGAAACCCTAAGAATTTATGGGCCTATCAACGGCCATAATTCTATATTCTTGGCAAAATCATTACTTTGGAGAAGTTGGTGGGTTAGGAGCTATTCTAACAGTCCCTCCCCATCCTGGGCAGGGATAATATAATATTGTGGCATTTTATGCTGCATGGGATCATGAAGTAGGGGCCTTAACACTCCTAGAAAACTCAGATGATAAACTCTGAACAACAGATTGCTCTGTGAGAATTCCCCTCTCTTTCTGGCATAAACAGAAAGGTAAAGAGAGTTCCAAATGGAGAAATTATAATTTCCTGATATAATTACATCTAAAGGAGAAAGGGTTGGTATATGGGTGGCCTAGGGTTTTTCTTGATTGCTGCTGAGACTGATAAAACTCAGTGGTGCTGGGAGGGAGCCTTGGGGCTATTGGTTTCTAGCTGAAGCCAGCTAAGTTAACGACAGTTTTAATTCTAGCCACCTGGGGACATTGTTGGACAACAGAAAGTGGTGGGGAGTATAGGAGCTCAAGGTTGCTATGGAATCAGCTAGCTTAGTTCAAAGTGGGGACTGGCAGAGGAAATAGCAATTTGCATGTGTTCAGAAACAAAGGAGCCTTATATGACAGCAGGAGGTAGTTCTGATAGGCAAATCAAATAGGAGGTGGAGCCTGAAGAGATTCCCTAGAGGGTCTGGTACAAAGCCACAGATGATAAATGCCTCTGTCTAGGGATGAGCTTATGAAGAGCTGAATATACCTACAAGGTAGAAAGTGGTTGTCTGCTCCTCATCCCCAACTCCCATCTGACAGAGGAACTGGATTGGACATGGGTAGATGCTTGAGTCTTCATCCGAGCAGGGAAGCATTATTAGTCTCAGAGGACACACATAACCCTAGCAGCAAAGTTTGACTCTAGGTCAAGGGGCTGGCAGGTTGGGTGGGGACCGAGGTGGAACAGGAGCTCTGGGACAATGTCAAGTAAACAAATTGATCACACATAGATGGGGAGTACTGGGGTTCATGAAGACATTAACGCTATTCCAAAGGGAAGAACAGCAACCGGGCACTGACACATAAAAGATTTCTTCTGGATTTTGAAAACCTTGGTGAACAGTGAGCAAGTATGTAATAAAACAAGCATTCATTTTTGTTGTTGTTATTGTTTCCCTTGAATAGCACCATAGAAGTAGTTATATCAGTTACACTGATGAATCCAGAGGCTTCTGCGAATCAGTCCATAGCCAGGAAATTACAGTAAAAGCTATTCCAATTAAGGAATTCTAACCTTTATGCACATCACTCATAATCCACATTAACTCTCATTAACAGCTATTTGAATGTTCTCATCTGTTCTCTAGTACTCTCAAACTTCTGGTAGTATATCTTGTCTTCTTAGGCCAGAAGATCTCTCTCTCATATATCTGCCCTGGCTCACTGCTACATGCTTCCACTGCCACAGATAGTTGTTGTTTTCCTCTAGGTTGCCGTTTCCTTCCTCTTGTTCTAGTAGAGGACTCTGAACCTCTGAGTAGAGGTTCTGAGCCTCTTGGCCTAATATATGTATCACAGAAGTACAGAAACCCTTCTGACTTAGCCCAGAGTCTCTCTACCCGTAGGGTAAGAGAAGAAGGGAAGAAGGGTAGATTTAGTAAATAATTTCTACAGAGCTTTTTTCCAATGAATGATTAATAAAAATGAATAATAAAAATTTTTTAATTTATACCTTCCATTCACATAAACAACCTGAGGTACTGATGTCTCTGGTGGGGTAATATATACTCCTGGAACAGTGTGCTTCTATATGTACTTTTACTGTAATGATGGTAGGGAGCCTTGGGGCTACTGACCAATTCTCTGTGACCATAGAGCTCATCACCTTCTCCAACCTGGAAGTCTTACACTGCTCTAGATTCCTGCTAATTTTCCTCCTCCAAAAAATTGACAGTACTAATCTATACAGATACATAATCTATTATTTTCTTCGGTTCTTCATCAAATTATAGGTGATAACAGCCTTTTTGCTTAATGTACTTGTTTCTTATCCTCATTATAGCCCCTATTTTGCTTTCATTTTTTAATGAGCAATGAACATGTAGTCAATAAGTGAGAGACAGATATGCTTCTGAAATCTCATGTTTGGCATAGACAGTCACTTTGGGGAGAGCAGTAGATTATAGACAGTGTCCCTCTTTTAGAAGATATAATCAAAACTATTTTTTTCCTAAAAATTGAATTTGTCACTTGCTTTATTCTAATAGAAACATCTGAATTGCAACTGTGTTTTATTATGTACTTTTGGTATAGATTTAGACTACAATAACATGGAAATTTACCTTTAATATATTCATCAATGAGCTGAAAATTAATTTCCACATGCTCAGTAGTTGGGTCAAAGTCACAAATTTTCTCCACTAAGAATGTGTTAACCAACTGTGAACAAAGAACATATTATAAGATCACTAGCAAGTGGAAGTAGAAAGTCCAATTCACCAGAATACATAATATCATTTATGTAAGTTTTAAAATGGGCAAAACCAATCTATGATGTTAGAAGTTAGGATTCTGGTCATTCTTGGGGTAAGTATATATATATGTAGTAGGGTGATGGGAGAAGGTATAAAGGAGGGTTTGGGGGATGCCACTAGTGTCCTATTTATGATCTAGGTGCTGGTTTTAAATATTCATTGTGTAAAAATTTTCACATTTCTACACTTTTATTTAGACAATTAAGATTTGTCTACACTTGTTTGGGTTATTTTTCAACAAAAAGTATTTTTAAAAAGCTTACCAATTTTGGGTCTCCCTGGTGGCACAGGGGGTTGAGCGCAGCACTGTGAAGCTGTCTGCAGCCACTGCAGCATGAGTTCGATCCCCCGCTGGCCAGGAAGCTGCCCACGTGGTGCAGCAGACCTCTCCTGCCTCCCCCGCTGCTCCACTCGGCAGTGTATTTCGGTAGATCTGCCTTTTCTGCTCCCCACTCTGTCTCTGGTGAATCCTCTCACCCCTCTGCACCTCTGGCCTACACCCCACTTCTTGTGTGCATAAATAAATCTTTAAAAAAAAACTTACCAATTTACACATATCCCAATTTCTGATTTCATTTGATAATTCCAACTCTGGATGAAAGAACAAGAGAACCCCTTTGAGAATGTCTTGTAATAGTTTTACATGGGCTTCTAACTCCTGGGGCTCAATTTTTAGCTTTGCTGGAGAATTATATTCATAGATCACTAATGATACAAAGTCCATGTAGTTAAGCTGTTTGAGGTTTAACTTCAGCTCTTGCAACATGATTCGGAAGAAGAGAACTCCTGCCCGCTGGACTTCTCCTACATGTTCAATCTCTGGAATAACAATGATAACCCACATTGTTGTTCATTACATATATTACTTTTTTTTTTTAACATAGGATCTGAACATAATATAGTTAAATAAATTTTCACGAAAAAGAAGACCATATCCTATCATTTCAAACAATCTTATTTTCTTAGTGCTTAGTCTTAGGGCCCTCCCTGGTGGCACAAGGTGTTAAGTCTCAGCACTGTTATGAAACTATCCTCAGCCACTGCAGCACAAGTTCAATCCCCGGCAAGGGAGCTGACCCACAAGGTGCAGCGGACTTCTTATGTCTCACCCATTGCTCCCCTCAGCAGTGTATTTCAGTCAATTCACCTGTTCTGTTCCCTACTCTGTCTCTGGTGAATCCCCTCACTCCCCACACCTCTGGCCTGTACCCCAGTTTTTGTTTGCATAAATAAATCTTTTTTTAAAAAAGTGCTTAGTCTCAGATCTTACACATTGTGTAAGATGTGACTTTTTTTTCTTTCTTTTTCTTATCCCACCATATAAAATGGCTAGAAACTTTTCAGTTTAATCTCATAGAATGCTACACTTCTAAGTCTATCATTCCATTCTAGGTAATCAAAGGTTTCCATGCCTCCTTCTTCCCTCCCTTCTGCTCAAAGTGGTGTGTGTTAAGAATAGCCCAGTGAATGTGGAATCACTAGAGGTGTCTGGTCTTGATTTTGCCATGAGTTTGAGTTTGATGTTGAAATTTACTCTGATGGGTTAAAGCCCAAACTCTTTTATTTGTAAAATGAGATGTTCCAATGAATAATGCTGTGTAATATTGCACCCAAAGTGGATGCAAACCCAAATTTCACCACTTATTAACTGTGATTTGGTACAAGTTGTTTTGTTTCTCAGAACTTTATTCACCTGTAAAAAGAGGTATCACCATTTACCTTATAAGGTGGGTAAGAACTAATTGAAATAATTATGTAAAGGAATTTAAATATGATGGAGCCTTTAATAATGCTAGTTCTATATTGCCTTTATGAGTTCTTCCAGTTCTAAAACCTAAAACCTTATGACTCTAGCCAAGACAATGTGATTCCCTATCCCTTACTCTAACTTACAGACCATACTCATCAGCCCAAGATTGTTTGAGGTATTTCCTTTCACTTGGAAAGATGTGTATAATGCAATTGCTCATTGTAGAAAATGCATCTTTCGTTGCATAGTCTGTGATTATCCCAAACTTATTAAACCCAAGAATCCAGACTGCTGTATTCACAATACCTAAAATATAGTTTTTCTTTATTTCTCCAGATAATTCGCCCAGTATTTCATAGCATGCAGCTTGAGTGGTCTTCATCATTTTCTGTAGATCTTTAAATTCTTGATATGACAACATCTTACACTTGCCAAAGTTAAAATCAAGAACTCCCAGGGCCTCTCCTGTTCTCTCACGAAGTGGAATTACCATGTGGGTTTCTCCGTGGACAGAGGACAAAACAACTTGTGAATTGTCTGTGCACTTAAAAAGGAAATCTCTGAAACCAAAACCAAATAAGCATGGAGATGTAAGACATCAAGATGCTCATATCATCCCACCCAAACATATTGAATCATTCTCTTTGGTATCTACTACACTTCAACCCCAAACAGTCCTTGTTCCTATTTCACCTTCCTGGACCACTTCATCCCTTGATTTCAGAGGGCTCTCCCTCAGCTCACTCATTTCCTCATAGAGAAACCTTCCCTGACCATACAACCTAAAGTAGCAGCCCCTGAGTCACTCTCCATTATGATATTTATGTTTATTGTCTTTACTATTCTGGTATTACCTGAAGGTAATTGTTTTCTTGTTTATAAATTGTCCAATAAGTATTGCTTGAATGCCTGGAATATGTTAGATTGGGTTCCCTAGAATATGAGCCTGAGGTATGCTTATGCAAATGAGGGAGTGCTCTTAGGTCTGAGGAAAGCAGGAGAGGGAAGGGAGGGAAGATAAGATTGAGATCTCAGGTAAAGTCTATAGCCTCTGCCTGACCCCAAAGGGAGCACTAGGAAGCAGATTGTGCAGAATAACCTCTCCCACCTTCAGGCAGGGCAGACACATATCTTTGTCAGTCATTGGCTCTAAGCTACTCTAGTTGTGTGTGGGGAGGAGGGTATGTATATAATTAGCCATCTCCTTGTGAGGGGCTTTAATCTCTAAGGACATTCTCTCAGAGAAAGTTACAGTGTGAGTGTAGCGTAAGGAAAAAATGTCAGGCTTTTCTCCCCTCCCGCCATCAGGATAGATGATGGTTCCTTGCGGAACTGAATGCATGCCTGATGGCGGGCACCTGGAATAGGGTGTGGGCAGATGTAGATAGGCTAAGACTGTTTTGTTTTGTTTTGTTTTGTTTTGTTTTTTTGTGGGACCCTCGCCGGTGGCCGGGGAATGAACCGGCGCTGCGGAGGCTGCGGGCAGCCTCGCAGCCCAGCGCTCAACCGCTGCGTCGCCAGGGGAGGCCCAAGACTGGGCTTTTAAGGACAGTGTCATGAGAACGCCAGTAGAAGCCAAAAAGAGAAGCCAAGAAAGAAGCAGAGAAGCCGAGAGCAGAGAAGCAGCGAGAATGCTAGAGAGCCCAGAGAGAGTGAGGATTTGCTGGGGGCTGGGAGAACTGCCAGCCTCCGGGCCCCCCTGCACCCTTGCCTGCGATATGCCTGGTAAATCTAAATAAAAGACCTGCAAAAGCCACTGAGGACTCTGCCTCCTCCTTTACCCAGTCTGCTGGATCAGAAAACCTGCACTGTGCCCTGTCCTGCTTTACAGTGAGCCACTGGCAGCATTATCTATAGCAGTCAGCAAAAGGTATACTGGGGATCTGGTCAGGATATCAACAGCATCTGCTTTGATGGGCTACCTGAGATTTTCATAGAAATGTAGTAACAGCTTTTTTCTTTAATGAGATACACATCTATTTCTTTTTCTCTCTGTCCCCTCTACATTGATATTGAAATAGATATCATTCTTTTTGGGTAATTGTAAAAATGTTGGTACTTTGCATGGAGTAGGGGCAGGACAGGACACAGTCCTCCCAGCCCCCTGCAAGTCTTCACTCTATCTGGGCTCTGGCGTTCTCTCTGCTTCTCTGCTCCTCTGCTTCTTTCTTGGCTTCTCCTGGCATCCCCATTACGCCGCCCTTAAAAGCCCAGTCTTAGCCCAGGTGAATCCCATCTACCCATGCCCACACCCTACTCCAGGTGCCCACCATCAGGCATGCATTCGGGACCACAGGGTTCCGTCATCTATCCTAATGGCGGGAGGGCAGAAAAGCCTGATACTTTTACCTTACCCTACACATGGCCTCAACAAAACAAAACAAAACAGAACCACACACACATTTAAAGTACATAATATCAATTCTATAGTGACAGGTTAAGACTGAGTCTTTCTTTTGTTATTCTCACCCTTCCCTGCCAATGAGTTACCACCTTGTGTCTTTATGATAACCACAATGCTAAACTTTCCAGGTATAATGATAAAGTTGATTGGTTAACAGAGCTCCTCCAAAAGCATTTGCTCTAAGTTACAAACAAGAATCAAAGGTTATAAGCCTGGGTGTTATAAGGACTGCTGTAAAACTCTTGATTGGCACAAAGAATATTAATTATAGACTGTAGGGTAAGGAAAAATGTCAGGCTTTTCTGCCCTCCCGCCATGAGGATAGATGATGGATCCTTGCAGTCCCGAATGCATGCCTGATGGCGGGCACCTGGAGTAGGGTGTGGGCCTAGGTAGATGGGATTCACCTGGGCTAACTGGGCTTTTAAGGGGACGCCAGCAGAAGCCGAAAGAAGAAGCTGAGAACAAACAGAAGCTGAGAAAGAAGCAGAGGACACCGGAGAGCCCAGATAGAGTGAAGACTTGCTGGGGGCTAGGAGGCTGGCAGTCCTCCCAGCCCCCCAGCACCCCTGCCTGCTGTGTACCGGGTAAATCCCAATAAAAGACCTGCAAAAACCACTGTGGTCTCAGACTCCTCCTTTACCCAGTCTGCTGGATCCTAGAAAACCTGCTCAGTGTCCAGTCCTGACTTTACAATGGGGAAAAAAGCTTAAAACTGAATGAACATTCTGGTATGAAGCCAAACTAAAATTTAATTAACATCGGTGCTTAAATACGAGATTTGCCCGCAGTCTGATATGGGCTACTGCCTATTCAACGACACCGATCATCTAACAGGTGAAAGGCATTCAAAGTAATGTGGAACTGGTATTTATTAGTTAACATTCTCTACCTCCTCATATTTGCCCAAGCCTGACTTCTTTAAATTAAAAATACACATTAACAGGCTAGATAACATTAAGATGAGTTCGAATAAGTGATGTGGATGTATTTTTTTTATAACCATAGTGGATTTTTGTTGAATCCCATGTGTAGGGTAAGGAAAAATGTCAGGCTTTTCTGCCCTCCCGCCATCAGGATAGATGATGGATCCTTGAAGTCCTGAATGCATGCCTGATGGCGGGCACCTGGAGTAGGGTGTGGGCATAGGTAGGTGGGATTCACCTGGGCTAAGACTGTGCTTTTAAGGGTGGCATCACAGGGATGCCAGTAGAAGCAGAGACGCATAGAAGAGAAGCAGTAGCAGTAGCAGCAGAAGCCGAGAGAAGGCCGGAGAGCCCAAAGTGAAGACCTGCCGGGGGCTGGGAGGACTGCCAGCCTACCAGCCCCCCGGCACCCCTGGCTGCCATGTACCTGGTAATCTAAATAAAAAACCTGCAAAAGCCACTGAGGACTCCTATTCCTCCTTTACTCGGTCTGCTGGATATTAGAAAACCTGCACTGTGTCCAGTCCTGTCCCTACACCATGTTTACTAGAAAATCCTAGAAATTAAAACACCATCATGCTTAAAGGCATAAAATTCTAATATAAAATAACAAATGAAATCTGTTTTTAAAAGGACTGGAGGGGGAAAGGCATATATATATATATATATATATATATATATATATATATGAAACAGGAATTTTTCTTTAAAATCCAATCAGAATGAGAGGTAGATGCTGTGTCTCTCAAATCTACTGTCATACAAGTTTAGGTGGGGAGATATTCTGGAGGTCAAACAAAACAGATGAAGATGTATCTTATACCTGAAGATGCATGTCTTCCTGAAGATGGTAGGGGGAGTCTTGTGAATTTCTGTTAGACCCTGGTGCCCTGTAACCATCATTTTGCGTAGGACATAGTCTGAGTCCTTGAAAACAGGAATAGATTAAATTACAGAGAGGAATAATTATAACTCCTATGCTTATCAAAACTTTTGGGGACAAATAAATGGAAAAAAATTAGAAACATTTAGATGACTTCAAGCTTTATGTACAGTGACATTTATGGAACACAAGAGAAAAATTTCAAAACACGTGATTCTTTTAAATACACAAAATTATTTTTATAACCGTGATAAAATTGCTTTTACCTGTTTTTCTGATATTAAAAGTGCATTGTAGTACATTTGAAAAATACAGAAAAGTCCATTGAAAATAAGTACAATAAAAAAATATTCTTTAGTGACGGTCTTTGTCTTCACCATTTCACTAAAACTGTTCTTATCAAGGTTACTATTGACCCACTCTCACTGTCAAATTCATTGGTCAATCTCTAATCTTCACCTTCCTCTACCTCTGTGTATTTGACACAGTGGACAACTCCCTTCTTGGTATACTTTATTCATTTGACTTTTGGAACACCACTTTCTCTTGGTCTTCCTTCTACCTCACTCTTCTCATACTTCTTGCAAATTCTTCTTTGTTGCCCTCATTTTTAAGAGGTTTTCAAATAGTAGGTAATAACTTATTTGTGGTTTGTAAAACTGCACATATAAAAGTATACAACTTTTTTTGTTAGAAACTAGCTTTATTTTTCTTTTTTGTTTTTATAATAAATTTTATTTTTATATTCCCCATACAATTGCAACCCCCCATTCTGACCCCAATCCCTCTCCTCCCGCCCCCCACCCCCCAAAAAGTGTCTCTGGTTCATAGTTTTTTGTTGATTTTGATTTTCACTTTCTTATAGTTATTCATTTTCCTGGTCCCTTATTTAAGTTTTCTAGATTCCTGCTATGAGTGAGACCATCCGGTATTTTTCTTTTTCTTTTTGGCTTATTTCACTGAGCATGATCCCTTCCAGTGCCATCCATGTTGCTGCAAATTGCATGTGTTTATCTTTTTTGAATGCTGAGTAATATTCCATGGTGTATATGGACCACATCTTCTTGATCCAGTCATCTATTTTTGGGCATTTGGGCTGTTTCCAAAGCTAAGCTATTGTAAACAGTGCTGCTATAAACATAGGAGTGCAGGTGCTCTTTGGAATTGATGTTTCTGTGTCCTTTGGGTAAATACCTAGGAGTGGAATTGCTGGATCATATGGAAGCTCTATGAGAAACTAGCTTTATTTTTCTTAAATTTCTTTTTAAGAAAGTAATATTAGCTTGGAAGAAAAACAACTACTTTGTAATGTGAAACATTTTCATCTCTATATGACATAAATATACTACCAAACTCTTTAAATAAAATGTTTTCAACATAATACTTAGTGAACTAGAAAGATCACCCCACATAGGCAACTGAGCTTCTTTCCTAATTTCTTTCTTTCATGGTTTCTCATTTGGTGTTATCAACAACTAGATGGATAAGATATTTTACAATCTCACTGTTACTGTGTGTTTCTAGTTTTAAATATTTAGCCAAAACCAAACAACCCTGTTGTACCCTGTACAATCCCTCCCCACCCCAAGGCCAAGTTGCATAAATTGACTACTTCTGCTGTTTGACCAGAAGCATCACATAGAGAATTAGGGATGCATAATGGTATGTCTGAAACTTGTTTTTTTTTTTTAATGTTTTTTAATGTAATACTTGAACTAAGAAACTATAAATTCAGCAAGTGTCTCAGCAATTATTCAGTAGTAAAATAATCACTCATAGTTAAATTTCCTAGAAACCAATGGGAGAAAGAGCTACAATTACATGTTCCCTCATTTTCTTTCTTCTATTATTAGCTTGTTGTTTTTCCCTCTTACCTTTCAAATATCTATTCATTCTCACTATACATTTAGTCATTCTCACCTTTCTCATTATACATTATTTAAATAAATTATGAGTATTATTATTAGAATTTATCCTCTTTTTGCCTTTTGAGATACATTTTTAAAAGAATGAAATAAAATAGAAAATATCAGAAAATATCACATGTAGTAAAAGTAGGTCTGTTTTATGAAACTTCTGGATTTTTTAAAAATTGAGATTCAGGGGCCTCCCTGGTGGTGCAGGAGTTAAAGTCTCAGCACTATCAAGCTATCACCAGTCACTGTGGCATGAGTTCAGTCCCACAAGTCACAGCAGACCTCTCCTAACTCGCCTGCTGCTCCCCTCAGCAGTATATGTCAGTAGATCCGCCTGTTGTGCTCCCCACTCTGTCTCTGGTGAATCCTCTCACCCCCACCCTGCCCCTGCACCTCTGGCCTAGACCCCAATTCTTGTATGCATAAATCTTTTTTAAAAACCTAAGATTTATTTATAACATACAGATTCTGGGTGTACACAATTATACTTTAATATCCATATATATTACATTACCTTAAGTCTAGCTTCATTCAGAAACTTCTGGTTTTTGGTGTGTGTGTGTGTGTGAGAGAGAGAGAGAGAGCATGAGACAGAGACAGAGAGAGAGGGAGAGAGAGAAAAAATGAGAGAGAGAAAGAGAGAACAAGAAAGGGGCACAATATAAAATGTTTTTCATCTTACAGGTCAAGATTTTTTGAGCCACAGTGATTCTAAACATGAGTATCTTATGACTTAGAATTCAAGAATTCTTTATTTTTTAAACAAGAGCTGGGGTACAGACCAGAGATGCGAGGGGTGAGAGGATTCACCAGAGACAGAGTGGGGAACAAAACAGGCAGATTGACCAAAGTACACTGCTGAGAGTGCGGCAGCGAGCGAGCCAGGAGAGGTCTGCTGTGCCATGTGGGTTGCTCCCTCGCCAGCCGGAGATTGAACTTATGCTGCAGAAGCTGCGGGTTGCCCCATAGTGTGGTGCTTAAGCCCTTGTCTCACCAGGGAGGCCCTCAAGACTTCTTTTAAATCCTCATTCATTCCCTCAGTCATCCCATGCAGGCTCATGATTTTTTTGCTTTGTTTTTATATTATTTGATAATATATAGTATAATATTTATTATTTAAGTCACTTATAAATGTACAATTCTGTGGCATTGATATGACTTAAAATAACAAATCAGGCATAGCTATTAGTCATTTGTCCCTCTTAAAACTTCAGGAAAATAAAAGACTGAGGTCTTGGTTTCCTTGCTAGCTATCAATTACAGGTACCCTTAGTTTCTAGAGACCTTGAGTCTTTGTACATAGTCCTGCACATCTTGGAACCAGAAATGGAGTAGCAAATCTTTCTCATACTACCATTTCTCTCTTCTACCATCCTCTCATCTTTCAGGGATCATAGCCAGAAAAGGGTCACTGCTTTTAAGGACTCAAATGATTAGATTAAGCCTACTTGAATAATCCCAATCTCAAGGTTCTTCATCTCAATTACAACTACAAAATCTCCTTTGCTGCTAAGATAACATATTCATAGGGTCCAGGAATATGGACATCTTGGGGGCTGGGGGTGTGGATTATTCTGCCTACCACAGTTGACTATTTAACAAGTTTATAATCCAAAGAAATTGTTAGACATAACTGGGTACATATGTGTGATAAACTAAATAATAGTAATATTATTATTAATAATAAAACATATAAGTCTGAGTTTCACAGCCAAGAGAATCTGAATCTTCTGTTTTCTCTCATCTCTAGTTACTTCAACAAAATAAGAACTTTTTCCCTCCATAATTCTGTACATTATAAGAACACGGGGTAGGGTGGGATGTCTCGGAATTTACTTTGTAATTAGTATTAGCGAGGATTTCAGAAGGAAAAAGGTGACACCAGAACCAGCTGATTTGAAGAGAGCTTAACAAAGTTTATTAAAGGCATGGGCAGTGATTAGAATCCCAGGTCTAATGATATGCACATCAAAGACATCTTTACAGACACATCACCCAAAGCACCCATAGTGAAGGCAAAGATCAATAGCTGGGACTACATCAAATTAAAGAGCTTCTGCACAGCAAAAGAGACAATAACAAAAACAAAGAGAAACCCCACCAACTGGGAGAACATTTTTGCACACAACACTAATGATAAAGGACTGATCACAAAAATCTACAAAGAGCTGATGAGACTCAACAAAAACAAAGAAAATAATCCAGTCAAAAAATGGGCAGAAGAGCCAAAAAGAAACTTCTCCAAAGAGGAAATACAAATGGTCAACAGGCATATGAAAAAATGTTCAACATCACTTGTAATCAGAGAAATGCAAATCAAAACTACAATGAGATACCATCTTACACCAGTGAGAATGGCACATATTAAAAAAACTAGCAACAAGAAATGTTGGCGAGATTGTGGCGAAAAAGGAACCCTCTTGCACTGTTGGTGGGAGTGCAAACTGGTCCAACCACTATGGAGAGCTGTGTGGAGATTTCTTGACCTACTAAACAGAGCTTCCACATGATCCAGCTATTCCACTCCTAGGTATTTACCCAAAGGACACAGAAACATCAATTCCAAAGAGCACCTGCATGCCTATGTTTATAGCAGCACTATTTACAATAGCTAAGCTTTGGAAACAACCCAAATGCCCAAAAATCGATGACTGGATCAAGAAGATGTGGTACATATACACCATGGAATATTTTATTTTATTTATTTTTTTTTTAATTTTTTAAAATTTTTTTTAAATAGAGGCATGTTTTACTTATTTATTTATTTGTTTGTTTGTTTTTGTTTATACATGCACTGGGTACAGTCAGAAGCGCGGGAGGGTGAGAGAATTCACCAGAGCCAGAGCGGGGAGCAGAGCAGGCAGAAGGACCGAAGTACACTGCTGAGGGGAGCAGCGGGTGGCAGGAGAGGTCTGCGTGCCATGTGGGACCCTCCTCTGGTGGCCGGGGAGCAACCAGGGATCGAACCGGCGCTGCAAAGGCCGCGGGCAGCTTCACAACCCAGCGCTCAACTGCTGCGCCACCGGGGAGGCCCTACAGCATGGAATATTACTCAGCATTCAAAAAAGATAAACACGTGCAATTTGCAGCAACAAGGATGGCTCTGGAAGGGATCATGCTCAGCGAAATAAGCCAGAAAGAAAAAGAAAAATACCGGATGGTCTCACTCATAGCAGGAATCTAGAAAACTTAAATAAGGGGCCAGGAAAAAGAATAACTATAAGAAAGAAAATATCAAAATCAACAAACAACTATGAACCAGAGACACTCTACAGGGGGTGGCGGGTGGGGAAAGGAGGGCTTGGGGTCAAAATAAGGGGGTTGCAATTGTATGGGGAATATAAAAATAAAATTTAAATTAAAAAAAAAAGAATCCCAGGTTTAGTAACAATAGATTGTTACCACATTTAGCCTAAAAAAGGAAAAGGAGGAAGCAATTACCAGAACTTGGAGAGGATAGCGGTATGGAGAAGACCATTCCCCTAAAGGTGCAGTGACCTTTAGTAGGTCACAACCAACTCATAGTAACCTTCAGACAGAACACCAAAAGCGTAAATATCCCAGCCTCATTCTCTTTCTATTCTCCAGTCTTCAACTGATGTCTCCCATTGGACAAACCCAAGTAGAAGATAAAGAGCCAGGAGTCAATCAATATGGCCTACTTTTTGAGGCAATGGAGTAGGCTGAAGAAGAGATAAGAGATCTGGATGGGGCTGCAGAGGAAGGTGGAGATTTAGTTAAATGCTTATAAAAGGTATCCCTACTGCCATCCACAGGCATTTTTACACAAATTCATCACAGAGGTGTGATTTCTCTTAAAGCCCCAATAAGGTAATTCTGACGCATAGCAAGTCACTGACCAAAGAGAATCCTCCTACACAAACTTCAGTCTCACTGCAACTGTGGCCTATCAAACTGGGTGATCTGCCTCTCACATGAGTGAGTCTCATGACCCTTGCCTCCTGGCTCCCAACCTCCCTCTTCCCCTTACCCGACACCAAGTGGCCCAGCTTAGTTTTGAGGGTACTTGAAGCCTCCTGGCTTTTACCCCAACCCCAGGATCAGCACCTACAACTAGGTGGCTCCCCCCTCTTGACCTGGTCATTACCATTACCTCACTAAGGGAGAGAAGCAAGGACCTGGCAGGAAGGAAGGATGTCTGGCAGTAGGGTAGGGGAGAGAAACTAGTGGAGGACCAGCCATGGGACTGAAATAAAACTAAGGTGCTGCTACCACATGATCAAGCACTATAAGGAAGAAGCCTTTCCATCCATTCCCATCATATTAAATATCCTAATAATAAAAATTGTTTAAAGAAGCAAAGCAAATATTCAGCAAAAACTCATTACATTATAGATAGGGGATCTTTGCTTTGTTTTTTTTTTTTTTTTTTTAAATTGTGACCTTCCAAAACAACTGTACCTCATCCCTTTCTACTTCATCCATATGATTTGGGCAGAGGCTGCCAATTATTGTAACTCCCCACTTTGGTCCAGGGTCATATCAAGATAGATCAAAAGGAGTTTTCTTTCCTGGGTTTTCCAAATAGGAACAGGAAGGATTGTACTACACACACACACACACACACACACACACAAAATCCTTAGCTGAAAGGATAAAGCCAAAGTGCAGAAGGAAGTAAACATGAGAATTGGGGAGGGAAAGAACATGAGAGAGTCCTAAGTCCCTGGATCTGGACATCCCAGATGCCAGCTTTCCTCCTACCTTTTATTTTGGTTACATGAATCAATCAAGTCCCCGTTTTTGTTAAAAGCATTTTGAGATGGATTCCTGTCACTCACAACCAAGGGCTTTGAGTTGGGGGATCACAGGAGATATGGGAATTATGGGAAATAAGAAAATATGGAAATTAGCCCAATTGCTAACTAAATGTAGTTTTACAAGATTAGCAAGATAATGGCATCTAGAAACTATTATTCTGAAGAGGTCTAATATTTCACAGCCTTGCCCACCTGTTCTGGATCAGGCTCAACGAGGTATGTAGTAATGCCACTGATACCAAATGTGATGTTATAGAGCCAGCCAATGCCAGTGATCACCACATGTAGGATGTGCTCCCGACTATGGACATAGTGATAGGCAGTGCTAAAGACATTGGCAACACCCTGTAGAGAAAGAAAATTTTAATTGCCTTTTCTTTTAAATATAGCAAAATAAATAGTAATGCATCAATTGGATTGTCTTTTTAATTAATAATAATAGAATCTAAAAATATTCATCAGTTCTCAAAAGTCAGTGTTACAGATTCTACCATAAGAAAAAGATGAAGAAATCAAAGCACTAAGGCGAAATCCATATAGCTTATTTTATTTCTTTATAATCATTCAGTAAAATTTATGATATGTGCTATCAAAAAATAAGGTATACTTTGAAATGACATAAAAATCCAAGAACTAAAGGCAACCATGGGCAGGTAGGAGTTGCGCTGACCTGATGTAATATATATTTTTTTAATTTTATATAATTCTTATATCATTTTTCATTTTTGCACAATATATGCATTTTCATTTTGATTATATTCCCCCATACAATTGCACTCCCCCCTTATTTTACCCTAGTCCTTCCTCTCTCCGTCCCTCCCCTCTCCCCGTAGTGTGTCTCTGGTTTATAGTTGCTTGTTGATTTTGATTTTTACTTTGTATTAATTAGTCTTTTTCCTGGTCCCTTATTTAGGTTTTCTAAATTCCTGCTATGAGTGAGACCATCCAGTATTTTTCTTCTTCTTTCTGGCTTATTTCACTGAGCATGATCCCTTCCAGCTCCATCCATGCTGCTGCAAACTGCATGTGTTTATCTTTTTTTGATTGCTGAGTAATATTCCATTGTGTATATGTACCACATCTTCTTGATCCAGTCATCTATTTTTGGGCATTTGGGTTGTTTCCATAGCTTAGCTATTGTAAATAGTGCTGTTATAAACATAGGGGTGCAGGTGCTGACCTGATGTAATATTAATGTCTATCTTTACATGGCTACTGTCATGAGATCAGCAGTAAGGGATCTGCTGGGCCTGCAACATACTAGCTTACACAGTCTTTTGTAGGCATAAAGCAAGTCTGTTCCACAGAAAAGGGACAGAAGTTCTTAGACTCCATCTGTCGTCTTGTGGTCCAGAAACCCTAGGAAGCACACATTTTTCAAAAATACATGCATTTTATATTAGGACCCAATGTATCTAAGGGTAACCGAGGAGATTTTACTTCCACAGACTAGAGAATCCATTATAATTCATTCTGACATAATCTCTAACAAGAATATCTACAGTTCATCTGCTGATAATTCCATATTTGTCCATTTTGCTTCTTAACATTTTTATATTATTCTATGTCAGAGGAGAATGAATCTTATTATTAAAAAGATGTCCAAAAGAAAAGATTCTATAATTTTCCTCAGTTATGCATCCAATAAACAGGAAGAGAAAAATTTAAATATTGATAAATAAAAAAGTCAGAGGTTTACAGAGGAACAAATGATGAGAGCATAGCAAGTTTCTGATTGTTGCTACATTCCAGTCCACTGTATCCATATAAAGGCTTTCAATTTTCCTTCATTGCAATTTCTGTTCATAAAATTAAATTGTACATTGTTATTAACTAAATGAAATGATCCAGTTATGCTATAGTCTTATGTTATAGTGCCTATCCCTTTTGTGATCTAATTTGGAATTCTTGAGAGAGATTTAGATTTTTTCCTCCATTCTTCATCCTCAAAAATTATAACACTGAAATCAAGAGCTATGGGGTTGCATATCTTTGTGTAAAGTTCAAAGGACTTCTAGGTGCTGCCATTAACAGAACATAAATATGTCCCTTCTGAAAGCTCATCCCTACTTTTTGGTCTTAGCAGTCTAATACTTATATTTTGGGTTCTGAAACACAAAATACTGTTCATATGATTAATGCAATGGGACACATCTAACAATTTTCTCAGAGAGGCTGAGGCATGAATGTGCAACTGAGGCTAAGAATTCTTCCAGGTGTTATGACTCTCCAAAGGCTGATACATACACACAGGGAACAGGAACAAGTATGATGACACTACTGATTGTGTTTTTTAAAGGAGTATAGAAGGAGAGACCATTCTATCACTGCCCTTGAAGAATTCTTCTATGACTTACCTGATAGAATCTAATCTCATGAGGTAGGAAGATATTTATTTTCTTGGGATCTCTAAGGGTGTCCACAGCCAAGACCCCAAAGATCCTCATATGTGCATCCTGAAGAGGTAGAGCCAGTAATGATCCATTACAATCACTCTTCTTGCGGGTATGGTTCCAGAAAAAGACGTTCCCATGGTATTGAACTTGGGGGACATGTATTGGTTTCCCTTCATCCACTACTGTAAAGCTGAGGAATAGAAATAAGAGGATGAGAGAAAAGCACAGAAAAGGACTTTAAACTATGCATGACACTAGATCAGTTCTCCATTCATCATCATTGGCATTATGTCAGAGAAGTAGACTAAGATAAAATTTCCAGCTTGAAGAGTTTGACTTGAGAGAAAGACTTTAGAAACAAGCTTACACAGTAACAGAGAAAACCTATACACAGGATGCAGAAGACAAAACTTGAGGCCTTCCCGGTGGTGCAGCAGTTGAGCACTGGGCTGGGAAGCTACCCACAGCCTCTGCAGCGCTGGTTCCATCTCTGGCCCCCAGCGAGGGTCCCACATGGTGCACAGACCTCTCCTGCCGTGCCCGCTGCTCCTCCCAGCAGTGTATTTCGTCAATCTGCCTGTTCTGTTCTCCACTCTCTGGTGAATTCTCTCACCCTCCCGCGCTTCTCTCTGTACCCAGTGCTTGTATAAATAAATAAATCTTCAAAAAAGATGACAAAACTTATAGAATAGGCAGAAATAATTGAGCTGATATTGTGAAGCAGAGTCTCTCTATGGTGAATCAATGCCTAAAAGTGAGCTCTAGGGCCTCCCCGGTGGCGCAGTGGTTGAGCGCTGGGTTGCGAAGCTGCCCGCAGCCTCTGCAGCACCGGTTCTATCCCCGGTTGCTCCCCAGCCACCGGAGGAGGGTCCCGCATGGCGCGCAGACCTCTCCTGCCGCCCGCTGCTCCCCTGAGCAGTGTACTTCAGTCCTTCTGCCTGCTCTGCTCTCCACTCTGGCTCTGGTGAATTCTCTCACCTTCCTGCGCTTCTGACTGTACCCAGTGCTTGTATGTATAAATAAATAAACAAACAAACAAACAAATAAATAAATCTTAAAAAAAAATAAAAGTGAGCTCTCAAAATTAATCAGGTGAAATCATCTAAGACTGGAAATCCACCTCTCTAGTAGTATTGGTGACCTGAGGCATTTCTTTATTGGGAAACTAACCAGGGTTTCAGTGTTAGTTTACTTCCGAAAGGGAATTATTTTTTAGAAGGGTGAAAACTACCTCTTCAAGAAATTCTTACCTGATTCCCTCCATGTCCCTGTAGAGCACTTTGTTCAGTACAAATGGAGCATCATCTAAAGTACAAGCTACATTCCTCAATAGAACATTTCCTCTATCAGGCAATAGTTGGTTTTCTTCCAGGAGGGAAATGTGAGCACTGATCTTCTTATTTCCATGGGCTTCCGCATCCTGTGGCAAAATGTTTCTTACCATGTATTTACCAATAGTCAAAGAGCTACTCTCTGAATCATGCCTCCCTTTATTAGTCAATTTGTGTATCTGACTCCAATAATTTTATTTTCCTGAATTATTTATGGACAGTGGGGGAAAGGTTTATTCCCTATCTGTCCCCCAAACCTTAGTTTTAGTGAGTGGAATGGATTTACCTTATGCTAACTAGATTGGTTTCTTTAAAAAAAAGAAAGAAGGAAGGAAAAAGTCTCAAGTCCACTCAAATTTATAGGTTTAAAATTGGATCCCTTTGAACTATAGTCATACTGTCTGGGTTTCAGTTAAAAGTATTTCTTTTAGAGAGCTGGGACAAGAAGATGATTGCACTCCACTCATATTTCTTGACCTTTTACTATAATGTGAATGTAGGGGGAAAAAAACACCCTGAGAGAATTCTTAAAATGATTTAACTATGAGATATGATTCATGTCATTTCTTTGGATCCCCAGAACTCAACCATTATTTCTCATTAAAATAACTAAAAATTCTCTATACCTGAAATACTATAATATTAGTAACAATATATTGAACATGTCCATAAATTTGATATGAGACACAACATTTGTCTCATCTTTTTATAATTGGGTAATGCTTTTCATGTCTTCTTCCCTATTACCTACCTCTATTCCATCTTTTCTAGATAACAGATCTATAGAGTAACAAAAATGTAGGAAGATTTCTTTTAGGGTACTGCAGATTTCTGAAGCACAGGAGAATACTACTGCTTTTTTATTGATGGGTCTCCTGTTCCTGGTCATATCATTTCCAACTACACTGGAAAATTCAGTCATTTGGGAGATGATTCCAATAATCAAGTCTGGCTAGTTATCTGAGATGAATGATACAAACCCCCCGAATCAATGGAATCTGTGATATATGTCGAAGATAGCCATGGTATTTCTACCTGGGAGGAATAGCAAGTTGGGCACGTCTGAATGAGTGACAAAGCTGTGGGCAGTGGTCCATCAGGATCATGTGTTTTAAATGACAAGATTCTGTAATAGCCTGTTTGTTTCTAGGCAATGTTGTAAAATACTGTGTGATGGTGGATTCTAATTTATAATGATTTTATGATTTAAATAGTTCCTTTTTAAACTGACTCCAAAAAAAATCATACAAGGGATAATTAGCTTAAACTGCTATTGCACCTCCTTACTGGTATTTTTCAAAGCAGTCTACTCTCTGTTCTAGGCTTGTCTTTCAGCACAAATGAAATTAAAAATCTCAAGACATAATTCCGTCATTTATATCTATCCTCTCTGCTTCTACCATGCCCAGCTTAATCATCCTTGTTGCCTCTTGATAACCTTTGGGCCTTTGTAATGTACTGGAATAAATAAAATATCTATAGCTGTTCCTAGCAATTTTTCGAGAGAATTTAGTGTGCTCCTTTTTTGCAATCATTGAGCACTGCCTGCTATGAGGAAATTTACCCTCTTATATATCATTTTAGAAAACATACCTGGGTGAGCGCCTTAAAGGTCTCATTGTACACTGGTTCCAGGGATACCCCACTTGTCTGAGCAGCACGTTGGATTTGATGCAACCACTTTCGTCTGGCAGAGTTTCTGAGATTCTCAATATGTGTCCTTTCTAAACTATACATAAGAAACTCTACAATGTTTTCCAGAACAAGATCTTCATTGCCCCTAAGTTCAGATACAACCAATTCTATGTATTTCTGAAACTGCCTTGCAGATAGCCTTACTTCTTGACCAGGGAGTGGTTTTGGAAAATGGATATGTAGTTTAGCTAAAAGACAAACACAAAATAAATAACTAATCAAAAGTTCATTCATCTGTGGAGGAAATTTTCATTCTTCTCTTATAGTTCATCAAAGTCCTTGGCAAATGTTCTTCCCCCGCACTGAAAACCTTAAAAACCAAAAGAATCTCTCCCAACAAAACATCTTATAGTGACTTCCTGTGCTGAACTTAAAATGACTTCCATGTCATTTTCCCTGTTTTTGTTTTGTTATGTTAATTCTACCACTCAGCCATATGAAATCCCAGGGTCAGCTTTGTCTCCTCCCTACCTTTTACTTTCCACATCCAATAGGCCTTCTAATCCTATCATGTTATTCTTTGGCATTGTATCTGGTGGCTATTCCTCTCTATTTCTACTTCCTTAATCCTGTACTAGTATTAATCACCTTAAAATTGGATCAGCAATAGATAAATTCAATACATATTTATAATATTAAACTAAAACACAATTTGCTTTATACAATTCCCTTTTTCAGCCCTACCATATTCAAACTGAGCCCATAATAATAATATATGCCCATAATACCATATAGGAATTATTTGCTCTACTATAACCATTCTACTTAAGGTCCCTGACCAGCCCTTTCACACTTCTGCATTTTTTGTTTCTAAACTATACAATAATTAATCTACTATAAAACTTGAACATTACCAATAACTTACATCTTACTCTAAGCCCCTGCCAGTATTTCACCCACTGCCTCCTGACACCCAGATATCCTGAAAGTTTGCTTTTGCTTTATCTTTCCCTTCATTTTTCTTTTCCCCAATAGTGTGTGTGTGTGTGTGTGTGTGTGTGTGTATGTATACTTCTAAAACAACATATAGTTTAGTTTTGCCTGTCTGTAAACTTTAGAATGAAAGGATATTATATTAAATGTAGTTTTCTTGGTTTTGCTTTTTTATTCAACACTATGCTACCATATCCAAGTTGTTTCTATAGCTGTGACTCATTCATTTCTACCACTATATAATGTCACTCTGTAAGTACCGCCATCATTGATTTATTTTCCTTTCGGTGTCTATATAAGTTGTTTCTAGTATTTTGCTCTTATGAACAATGCTCTGAGCATTTTGTCCATATCTTCTGGTGCACAAGTGCAAGTTTCTTACTATAAATAATAAGTCATAGGTATGTGCTTTTCCTCTCCAAATTTCAGAATCTCCCCTTCCTCAAAAAACTTCCATTGTGATTTCTCCTTCCCTTGAAAGAACAATAGCATCCATTCTATACTATTTATCTGACAGTTAACAAATGCCCTCTGGTACCTTTCCTCATCTTATATGAGAACTTCTCATTTCTATAGTTGGACATTTGTTGATTTTTCTCGTTAGCATCCATTCAGCTTTTTCCTGGTAATTGCATCCCAATTTTTGCTTTGGGGAGATCATGCCACTCCCATTTTTGTTCATGTGTCTGAATGGGGTTCTACTCTTGGTTCTAGAGGTAGAGCATGCATCACAGACATAAGCCAGTCAGGACATTCTAATCCCCTAGTTAGAGTGGTTACTACAGACTAATGCCGACTCTTTACTTGAATGATTAGAAATAGAACATTTCCTTTTTATTCCTATTGGACTTGAATGAACCTGTAAGGATGTGAAACTAGACCTGGTCACTACAGGAGAGAGGTAGTATGAAAATGGTGACAAAAATAGAAGAGAGCAGCAGCAGACTGAAAGAAACAGAAATTTATCCTAATGCCATTGTTTTAACTCCCAAATCCAAGCGTGTCCTGGAATTTCATGAACATGAATTAATAAAGTCCTTCTTTGATTAACCACTTTGGACTGGGCTTTCTAACTCAAAAGGATGTTAACTGACATGGTCTCCAGTTAGTTAAAAGTAACTGTACGTCCTTCCACTTCCATATTTTTTGTTCTTTTCCTTTCTTTTTTTTTAAATAATTTTTATTTTTTTATTTTTTAAAGATTTATTTATTTATTTATTTATTTATATAAACACTGAGGTACTGCCAGAAGCATGGGAGGGTGAGAAAATTCACCAGAGCCACAGCGGAGAGTAGAACAGGCAGACTGACGAAGTACACTGCTGAGGGGAGCAGCGGGCAGCAGGAGATGTCTGCGCACCATGTGGGACCCTCACCAGCCACCAGGGATAGAACTGGTGCTGCAGAGACTGTGGGCAGCTTCATAGCCCAGTGCTCAACCGCTGCACAACTGGGGAGGCCCTGTTCTTTTCCTTTCATTCCTTTCTCTTTTTTAACAATTTGATTCTAAAACCATCAGGTGGGTAGAGCAAGGTAAGACTCTGTTTCTGGTCAAGGGAAGCTATGGTGGCTAATAGCAGGATATCAGAATCAAAGTGGAGTAAAGGGGGCATCTGTATATAGGCAGAGACTTGGCATGGGTGAGGGGGTTATCCATGTGAAAGGCAATCTTCAGCTCATATGAATGAAGAGGGTAGACTTGCAGAAAAGTGGTTTAGCTTGGGTTATCAGGAGAACTCAAGTGGGATGCAGAGAATAGCCACATGAAGTGGATGGCCAATGTGGGGTTTGTAAGTCTAAGCAGGGTAAGAGCGTGCAAATGGAGGGACAGCCTGGTGTGGGAAGTCAGAATCTAAAGAGGGTGAGGAAAGTGTGTATGTGAAGGGAAGCCCATATCAGGGAATCAGGGTCCCAGCAAAATGAGGAGCACTTTCCAGCTAAAGGATCTGCTCAGTGTGAAGAGTCAGAAGCCTGCACAGATTGAGAAGGGAAATTGAGTAGGAAGATTAGATTGGTCTGAGATGTTAGAACCTAAATGTAGCAAGAAGCATATGAGTGTGGGGGGGATGATAGTGTGATGGGATATTAGTTCCACACAGGAGGATTGATAAAAAATATTTTTAGGATTATATGAGCAAGAGAGAAGGGATCTATAAAATTGGGAGAAAACTAGAATGACTCTTGTGCTACTGTATTGGATTTGGATATGTGTGTGAACTCATAGTTTTTAATATTAGTAGATATTATTTACAGCCACACCACCCTACACATACCTGATATAATCTAATACTAATAGATATTTACAGAGCTATATACAGATATAGATGTTTATGTATACACACATACATATTCCCCATAAGAAACTTGAGAGCAGGGCCTGGGAGAAATGAGCAGATGCAGAACCCAAGTCTTGGCTTCTAAATACCTTTCTCTACTAAAAGAAATCAAGGTTCCTTGGACAAATGGGTGAATCCAGACAGGGATAGGGAAAGCATAAGAAAATCTAGATCTTACTATGGCAGAAAGCATGGAGGTGCTCAAAAAATTATGGATACATATTAAAAGGACACAGGAAAGTATCCAGCTGTTGGTTATAAAACTAAATATATACCTACCCTATGATGCAGAAATTCTACCTCTAGGTATATATTTTAAAAAATTGAAATATAGGGCCTCCCTGGTGGCGCAGCGGTTGAGCGCTGGGTTGCGAAGCTGCCCGCAGCCTCCGCAGCGCCGGTTTGATCCCCGGTTGCTCCCCGGCCACCGGAGGAGGGTCCCACGTGGTGCACAGACCTCTCCTGTCGCCTGCTGCTCCCCTGAGCAGTGTACTTCAGTCCTTCTGCCTGTTCTGCTCCCTGCTCTGGCTCTGGTGAATTCTCTCACTCTCCTGCACTTCTGACTATACCCAGTGCTTGTATAAATAAATAAAAATAAATCTTAATAAATAAATAAATAAATAAATAAAAAGACATTCTTAATGTCAGTGACCCATTGTTTAAAAAAAAAATTGAAATATATACCAACAAGAAAAGATTTTAAAAGATTATTCATAGCATCTCATAATAGCCAAGAACTAAATGGTTTCAATGTCTATCAGTTGGAAAATGGATTAACAATAGAAATAACCTAAATGCCCCAAACAGATGAATGGATTAAGAGGATGTGGTGTATATGCATGTATATGTAAACACAAACACACAGGAATATTACTCAACTATCAGAAAAGATATGCTCTTGCCATTTGCATCACACAGATGGAGTTGGAAGAAATAATGCTAAGCAAAATCAGTCAGAAGGAGAAAGACAAATGCTGGATGATGTTACTTATCTGTGGAATATAGAAAAATAAAACAAAGAATCAGATAAAGCAAGACTGAAAAACTAACCTTTGAAAGCCTCCATTGTGGAATGGAGGAGAAGGGGAGGGAGGAGAACAAAGAAGGAAGAGAGCACGAGGATTCTATGGTAATGGACTTACGGGTTCTTTGGTGGTGGGCACACTCTGGTAATAATGCCTGAAGGGGGGAATCCTATACTTCTATAATGGAAACAATGGTGTGAACTAATGTTAACTCAATCAAAAATATTAAAAAAAGTTATAGTATTCTTACAATGAAATATTTACTCAGCAATAAAAAAAGGAGCAAATCGTTGATCCATGAAACAAAAATCTCAAGAAAAAGTATGCTATGTGAAAGAAGTCTTACGCAAAAGGAAGGCCTAGAAGAGATAAAACTAATATATGGTGGAAAACAACCAAAAGAATTGCTGCATTGGGGATTGGGTGGTGGGGACTGAATGGAGTAATGGGGTATGATAAATCTTTTTGGTTCTATATTTTCATAAGGTTATAAAAGGATATATAGGGATGGAGAAACGAATAGATAATTAAAAAAGTAGTGAAATGTTAATGGTAGAATCTAGTCGGTTGGTATGGAAGTACTCACTGTAAAATTCTTTCAGGTTTGCTGGATGTTTGAAATTTTTCACAATATAATATTGGAGGGGGAGGGAGGGCACAGAAGCCAGACTGAAAAGACTCTCATTGGCCAAATCTGAGTCAATATGAGTACTCAAATAAACAGTGATAGTGATGGATTAAAAACCATTGAATAAATAGGAAACCAAGGATACAGACTGTTATAAAAACCTTAAGTTTTATCAAGATATTAATTTTGAGACTAATTTTATTGACACATTAAAAAATTTTAAAAATCATCAGTAATCTCAACAGCCAAGTGATAATTTGCTTAAATATTTGGTGTCTTTTCTTTCTGAAACTTTTTCTATGTGTCTATCTACTTATACACAAGACACTAAACTAGATATAAATATATTTATACATATGTGCATATAATTATAAAACTGCTCTATTTCTATTATCCAGAATCACTAATATTATGGTGCATATCCTTCATCTATGTATATTTTTTATAATATAAATCATATGGTACATTGTTTTATGCTTTTTCCCTTAGCACATTACCATGAACACTTGCCCAAACTGCCTACATAAAGATAACTCTTAATTGGTTCATATTATTACATTCTATTGATAAGTCAATTTTTTAATCAGCTATCTTATTTTTTTTTTAGTGAGGTATTCTTATTTTATATCCTTGTAACTTTTTTAACAATATAGGAAGAAAGGGGGTGTTTATATGGTTTCAAAGTACACCTACAAGGTACTTACATGTTACAAAGAGAAAAATAATATCTTCAAAGTGGAAGGACCTTACAGATTAGCATATTATATGAAATTTCTGATAGGATTCAATGAGAACATTCCTGCCAAAAGTTAATAACCTGAATTTAATCATGAGGAAAGAGACAAACCTAAAAGAAGGATGCACTAAAAACAACTAGTATGTAGTCTTCAAAAGTGTCACACTCACAAAAATCAAGAAAAGACTGAAGATAGTCCTTGTTTCCAAGTGAAGACACAGTTACAATTTTATACTACTTGTCCAATTTTCAGTTTCTTTAGAAAACTAGAATGAGCTTTTTTCAATATATGGTTCTTACTATTCAATATTTCTGGAATTCATTGACAGAATGTGTCACCAAAATGTTATAATTTTAAAAGAGTTAAATATTCCACTTAAGTAAAAATTTATACATTAAAGCAAATCTTGTTGTTTAATAGAAAATTAAAGGTCATATCCAACAAATGTTAATAAGCTATTCCATGAGAAGTAATGGGGGTGGGGGAGAGAGTCATTTATCCCATTATATTCTACACAGTAGATAAGTCACATAGTCTACAGTCTTCTCTAAGTGATTATTTCACTCAAAAGATTAGGCTGTATGAGATAGGAATGAAAAGGGAAAAATACAGGTTGAAAGTTTCAATTTATCCCTTCTATGCAGAAAATTTGCACTTTAAGTACAACAACAGAAACATTACTTGAAATTTCTAATTCTGTGACTTTATCCTAATTAACCCCAATTTTAATTATTTTACTTTTATAATTTTTTTTCATAGAAGCAACAAGGTAAACCATTTTTTAAACCTGGGGCACAGAAATAAATCAGGAATGTAGAGGAAAACAAAAAATAAACAGAACTGTTTGAAAATTTGCCTATCAGTTATTAGCTAATGTATAAATTTAGCATTTTCTTCCTTTTTTAGGAAGTTAAAATCTGCCTTTTTCCATGAATTCAGCAATCAGCCAGGTGGCTAGCAGTATGTGTTCAGAGTCATTTTTTATAAGCCTACCCTAGGAGAGAAAAATTTGTTCTTCCTGCTTGCAGACACAGACATATTCATCTGGCAGCAGATTCTGTTTCCTTATTATTTTCTTCATTCTCATTTGCTGGATTAACCTATTATTTTTTATGTTATCTACCTATCTCTATTGTTGTATTTCAATTACATTTATTGCAACTTCCTTAAAATATCATCCTCCAGTTCTTTAAATTCTAGAATTCATCATATCTAACTCTTGCATTTTAGAAATGAGAACATCTGGATCTACAGAGGGTCAGTAACTTGCTGATAAACCTGTGGTCATTTAGTGAAAGATCCAGCAGTGGAAATCAACTCTGCTGGTGTTCTGTGTTATGAAATTTGCCCATTTTATAAGTGGAAACTACCTAATTATATTTTCTAAAACTTCATTAAGTAAATTCTTTTTGGATACAGTTTCAGACAAGTAATATATTATGTATAAATGTAAAGTTTGCACAAGATATAGTTAATGAGGAAACTATGATGATTAAAAAAACAAGGTGCATTTGAAGATCAAGGAAAACAACAGATTTCTTTTTTATATTATTTTTTATTTTTTACATCATTGTTCATTTTTAAACTATATTTGCTTCCCCCCACCCCCTCAGGTGTATTCCCCATAGAGTTTCCTTCACCAGTGCGCCCCTGCACCATCACCTCAGTCCCCTGTGCTCCTCCCTCCCTCCCTCTGACTCCTCTCCTCCTCCCCTGCAGTATACAACAGATTTCTAAAGGGCCGAAGCACTTAACTAACCCTGAAATTTCTCTACCACATGTACTATGTAGTTCAAGAAATAAAAATCTTATATGCCAAAGCCACCAGATAAATCCTAAAACTCAGTGAAGAGCAAAATCATTCAGGGACCTCCCCTGGTGGCTCAGCGGTTGAGCGCTGGGCTGTGAAGCTGCCCACAGCCTCTGCAGCACCGGTTCCATCCCTGGCCGCCAGCCAAGGTGCCACAGGCGTGCAGCCCTCTCCTGCCACACCTGCTGCTCCCCTCAGCATGTATTTCGTCAGTCTCCCTGTTCTGTGCCCGCTCTGGCTCTGGTGAATTCTCTCACCCTCCCGCACTTCTGACTGTACCCAGTGCTTGTCTAAACAAACAAATAAATAAATAAATCCTTAAAAAAAAAAAAGAACAAAAACATTTATACTGGTATTTAATTGAATGAAGAAGGGAAAAATTACACTGGAGTAGTCTTTGATCGGAAGTATTGATCAGAAGAGAAAATACACAGTACAGGAGAAGAAAGAGTCATCAAGGAGAATAAGTCAGTAAATTAAGGAGAAACTTGCAAGCCAGTCAGACTTGGGAGGTAAATCAGACAGATTTGCAGAGGCAAAGAGATATAAGAAAAAAAAATTTGAAGAAGCAAAAACAGGCAGCTCTTTGGAATGGTTTAAATTCTTTAATCTCGAAGGTGAGGGTAGCCAGGCACACAGAAGGAATCTATGTAGAATTAAGGTCTTGAGCAAAGTACTCTGCAACAAATTCTGCTGCTTCTTGCTTTGATACCCCCACCAGCAATGGACAAGGATTCCAATTTCTTCACATCTTTGCCAACACTTGTTACTTTGAATTTTTAAAATTACAGTTATAGGGGAGGAGACATTTGGCTGGACATTCAGAGTGACAGACTCTCTCTCCTACAACCATGTTCCACTTTGTCTATAACCTCACAGAGAAGGCCTCAAGTACTGGTAAATGCCTAAATCTGGTAGTTTCAAATAGTTGAGGAAGCTATGTCGTATGATTTGGTGACACTAAGGTGTGGATGTGGTTTTACATCAGAAAGATCATAGGCAAGTGTAATATCATTGGTTATAATGTTTGTAGATCAATCTTTGACATGTAATTATATTTGGTTTATTATTTTAAAATAAACAAGTATATTATAGCCATACTACATAAGCAACAAAAGCAAAAATAAATAAATGGGACTACACTGAGCTAAAAAGCTTGCACCACAAAAGAATCAACAAAATGAATAGGAGAAAACTATCTGAAAATCATATATCTGATAAGGGGTTAGCATACAAAACACACAAGGCACGCATACAAATCAACTGCAAAAAGCAATCCAGTTTTTTAAAGAGTGTTAGAAGAACTAAATAGATGTTTTCCAAAGAAGAAATACAAATGACCAAAAGGTACATGAAAAGATGCTCAACTTCACTAATTATCAGGGAAAAGCAAATCAAAACCACAGTGAGCTATTACCTCACACCTGTAAGAATGTCATCAAAAAGACAAGCAATAACAAGGGAAAGGGGAACCTTCATGGACTGCTGGTAGGAATGCAGATTGGTGCAGCCACTATGAAAAACTATATGGAGGTTCCTCAAAACATTAAAATTAAAGTACTGTATGATCCAGTAATTGCACTTTTGGGTGTATAGTCAAAGGAAATGAGATATCTGTACCTCTATGTTCACTGAAGAATTATTCATAATTGCAAGATATGGAAACAACCTAAGTGTTCATTGACAGATGAATAGATAAAGAAATGTGGCATATAATGAGAAAAAAGGAATCTGCTATTTGCAACAACATGGATGAATCCTGAAGCCATTATGCTAAGTGAAATAAGTCAAAGACAATACCAAATACTATATGGTATCATTTATATGTGGAAAATTAAAAAAAGCAAAACTTATAGAAAGAGAACATAGCATGGTGGCTGCCAGGGGCTAGAAGTGGGGGGGATGTAATTCAAAGTATAAAACTTCACTTAAAAGATAAATAAATTCTGTATCTAGTGTACATCATGGTCACCATAGTTAACAGTACTAAATTATATACTTAAAAGTTGCTTCAAGAGTAGATTTTATATATTCTCACTACTAGAAAGAAATAATTACATAAGGTGATAAGAGGTGTTCACTAACATTATTATGGTGAACATTTCACAATATATGTATATATACAATCAACATATCATACACCTTAAACTTACACAATGGTATATGTTAATTATATCTTAATAAAGTTCAAAAAAAATATAGCCATAATAGTAGGTGTGGAGTGGTATCTCCTGGTTTTAAAATAAAACCAGGGTTTTAACTGTATATATGTTATAGTACTGGAAAAGTTGAAGCCAAGTATACCATAATTTAAGTGAAAAACTGTTATATTTTTACCTTTTCTCATAGATTCTTTCTCCATTCCCTCCTTGTATGTATATAAGAGTTCATCAACTTCCTTCAGATCCAGAAAGCCTGAGCTATCACTGTCCCACTTCTGAAAGAGGGATTGTAGGAGAAGTTCCCGTCGGATTTGGGAAGTCTTTTGTCTAGCCTACAATGCAAACAGGATGACAAAGCACAGAAGACACATTGTTTATTGTGATAGTCAGCATCCTTTATTTATTCCTCCAGTAGTGCAATACTATTTATGAAAACAACTTTATGTTAGGACTAAGCATGACATTAATGGGAAAATGAAGTGTTTGATCCTCTAAATATCATTTCTCTGTTTCACCTCTAAACCAAAAAACAGGCATTTTCTGCACTGGATTAAAACATATTAACTTAGGAAGGAAACACACTCCTCAAGAATCTTTAATTTAAAAAAAAGAATCTTTAATTCATTCCTTTCCTCTTCCTCGCTGGTTGTTCAGGGAAGTGATGACCACATTGGTTGTTCTGCCTGGTCTCTTGGTGCGATGTATTTTGAAATGGAGGGAGATTAATACATGTCCAAACAATAAGAAATGTTGAAAAATTCTTTTTCATATTAAGCATTGACCTAATTAACATTGATTTCATTTACCTTTTAGATTTTTCACTAGCTTAATTCTATCAATTGGTAATTTAATGGCAGAACCCATTTAGAGTATGCAGGTTTGGGGGTTCCAAGATGCCCCTCATTCTGCCCTGTAACAAAATTACAATGGAAGTGGGAACTTCAGATTTAGGTTGAGAAGACACATGAGGTTGATGAGATTATTGAACATGCCTGGTGAATCTAATTTACGTATTTCATATTGGGACATATAAATTGCTTATATCAAATGTGTGTACATTTTCTATCACCCAAGCAAGGTGTAAGTTCTCAGGAAGCATGTACTACTTCATACTGAGTACACATCAATTAACATATATATTCAAGCCATAGTTGTACCCCTAGGTACAACAAAATAATTTATTATTTTTAAATTTTATATTTTTACATCATTTTTCATTTTTGCACAATGTATGCATTTTCATCTTGGTTACAGTAGCCATACAATTCCCACCCACCTTGTTTTGATCCTACTCTCTCCTCCCCCTCCTGTAGTGTGTCTCTGGTATGTGCATTTTTATTTTATTTTATTTTTTTTTATAGAGGCATTTTTTTTTATTTGTTTGTTTGTTTTGTTTATACATGCACTGGGTACAGTCAGAAGCGCGGGAGGGTGAGAGAATTCACCAGAGCCAGAGCGGGGAGCAGAGCAGGCAGAAGGACCGAAGTACACTGCTGAGGGGAGCAGCGGGCGGCAGGAGAGGTCTGCGCGCCATGTGGGATCCTCCTCAGTGGCCGGGGAGCAGCCGGGGATCGAACCGGCGCCGCAGAGGCCGCGGGCAGCTTCGCAACCCAGCGCTCAACCGCTGCGCCACCGGGGAGGCCCTGGTATGTGCATTTTTAATGTACTCACACAGCAGACAGTGCACACACAAAAACACACACACACATCTTTGCACATACAAATACATGCTCCTCAGAATATGCTCTTCAAGCTACACAGGAGGAAAACAAAGCTGTACAATAAATCATCTACCTCTAGCAATTATTTTATTATTAGGCAAATAAATTCTCTGTACTATGATCTTAGAACATTTGACAATAAAATGCTTAAGGACCATGCTCATTGAAATAAAGTAATCATTTGCTTGTAAATGTTTAAAAAGTCATATTGTATATATGTACATCATCTTCTAGATGTTACCTCAGTTAAAAATAAATTAATTAATTTCAAAAAAAGGAAGAGTCATTAGGAGTAACTGAGGTTTAAAGATTTACAATAATAACTCATTTGTTTCATTGATAAATAATACTCACCTGTTCTAAGTGACTCATTTTCTCTTCTTTTGTTTCAACATAGCACCTCTTAAAAAAGGATACGAGAGTCTCACTGACACTCAAGGGGGTATCTTCACCAACAAATGTCTCCAGGAGTTGCACAAATTGAAGTAGATTGAAGGAGACTCCATTGAAGGCACTCCTACCTTTTGCTTCTTTGTAAGACTGAATATTTCTGATAATTGAGTGTAGGTCTGTCAAGCAGGAAACATACAACAAACAGTAAAGTAAACAATTTTCTCAAAACCCAGGGAAATTTTATTTTATTGTGATGGACATCTACTTGTTTTTTGTTGTTGTTGTTGTTGGGAGTCCATGAAACCATCATGAGGATAACACCCTCCTTTTTTTTTTGTTTGGTGATACACCTCTCCCCCACTCTCAGTTTAAATGAACCCTTCCGCTAGCTGATGGTACGGAGAATCCTTCCCCTTAGCTCCAAGGACAGCCACATGATACAGGTTTGGCCATAGATTCACTTATGACAACAGTGTAACCCACTATAGGTCAATGAGAATTATTCCACATTTTGGAGAACTGTTGGGAAAGAATCACTCTTCTGTACTCTGATTGCTGAACTACTAGGATAGAAATTTAGAGGCACTCTCATGGATATCTTTGCATAGAATGGAGAAAATTACCTAAAACTGAACATTACACAGAGACGAGCAAGGTTGAGGGGCAGAGACAGTGTCCTGCAACTGTTGCCCTTGGGTTCAGTTGTACCTAAGCCAGCAGCTATGTACTCTTGTGTAAATAAGTATATAAATAACATCACTACAACCTCTCCCCATGGAGTCTTGACTAATTTATCTAGACATTTCATGTTACAATATGAAGCATGTTTCATACAATGTCAGCCCAGTGATTTATGTTTGATTTATTCATTGATTGAATGTGTGTCCTATGTCTTCCTTATGAGATTTGACATGACTTAAGAAAGATCACCCACACTGCAGTTATCTTTTCCCTTAAAACTACTTGTGCTGCATCCCATAGATTCTGGTAACTTATATCATAATTTTTGTTCATTTTAAGGTGGTTTTTAAATTTCTGCTTTGATTTTTGCTATTAAGCAGCATGTTATTTAATCTCCATGTATACATAATTTTTCATGATTTTGTTCTTTTTAAAAAACTTTTATTAAAGCAACATTGGTCAAAACATTGTATACAATCTAGAGGTATAGGATTATACCTTTCAGGCATTGTTACCACACACCACACCTACCACTAAGACCCCCATTTTTTGGTATGGATTTCTAGTTTTATGGCATAGTGGTCAGAGAAGCTACTAGGTAAAATTTCATGCTTTGTATTTTTCTTTGCATTGCCATTTGCTTGTATTAATATCTTCCAACCTTTAGTTCTATGCCTATGCTTGTCTTTCTTTGTAAAGTTTCTTGTAAAAAACAGAAGGTTGGGCTTTGCTTTGCAATCCATTCAGCCACTCTGCATTTTTTGACTGGATAGTTCAAGCCATTTACATTTTTTAAGTGATTATTAAAATATAAGTATTTATTGCCATTTTGTTATGTTTTGGTTTTAGTTTGTCTTGTTTAAAAAAAAAAATTTTAGGGCTTCCTATTACATTTGGTTTGGGTTTCTTTTCTGTTGTCTTATGTGTTGCTTCTATAGAGATTTTTCTTTGAGGGTTCTGCTAGGTTAGTATAAGATGGACTAATTATGAGACTCATTGAATGGTTTCATTTCTAGTTGGTTCTAATGGACCACATTGTTACTTTTCTTGTCGTCCTCCTCCATGAAAATAATTTAGGTATCTTTTCCCTTGATATTCATTGTTCTGTGCTTTGTAATAACTTATTCTTCAGGTTTTCTTTCATATGCAGCTTGATGTTGATAAATGCTTTTTGCTTTTGCTTTTCAGTGAAGTGCCTTACTCTTACTTCTATCTTGATTATTAATCTTGCTGGGTAGAGGATTCTGGGCTATAAGTCCTTTTTTTTTTCCTTTATCTATTTATTTTCTTACATAATTGTTGACCTTTGAACAGTATTTGATTTCTCTCCTCAGGTGTAGTCACCATACTTCTCCCACCACCATAGCACCCATGATCCATTCTCCATAGACCCTTATGCTCTTCCCTCCCCTGTTTTGATGCCTCTGCCTTCCCCTCCCTGCTGTATGCCTCAGATCTATGGTCAGCTTGCAAGTTTTGTCTTTTTCCTGACCCTTTGTTCAGTTTTTCTATATTCTCCATGTAAGTGAACCCATCTGATATTTATCTTTTTCCTTCTGACTTATTTTGCTTAGCATAATCCCTTCCAGCTCCATCCATGTTGCCACAAATGGCATGAGTATATCTCTTTTGATCACTGATTAGTATTCCATTATGTATGTATACAGCTTCTTGAGCAATTCATCTGTTCTGGGGCATTTAGGTTGTTTCCATATCTTGGCTATTGTAAATAGTGCTGTAAGAAACATAGGAGTGCAGGTTTCCTTTTGAATTACTTTTTTTGTGTCCTTTGGTTAGATTCCTAGGAGTAAAATAACTGGGTCATCTGGTAGATCCACTTTTAGTGTTTTGAGGAAACTCCGCATAGTTTTTCATAATGACTGGACCTGTTTATGTTCACACTAGCAGTGGAAGGGAGCTACTTTTTCACCACATCCTTGCCAGCATTTGTTTTTACTGTTTGTTTTTTAATATGGTTCTCACAGGTGTGAGGTGGTATCTTCTTGTGGTTTTGATTTGCATTTTTCTGATAATAAGTGATGTTGAACATTTTTTCATATGCCTATTGGCCATTTGCATATCTTCTTTGGGGAAGTGTCATTTTAGCTCTTTTTGGATTGGGTTATTTGCTTTGTTTCTGTTGAGTTGTGTAAGCTCTTTGTAGTGTGCAAATATTTTCTCCCCTTTACTAGGGTGTCTTTTTGTTTTCATTGATGTCTCTTTTGCTGTGCAGAAGCTTTTTAGTTTGATGTAGTCCTCGTTGTTTATATTCTTTGGTGTTTCCCTTGTTTCTGGAGATGAGTCCTCATAGATGTTTTGGAGGTTTATATCATGGAGTGTTTTGCCTATGTTTTCTTCTATATTTTATGGCTTCAGGTCTTATACATTTTGAGTTGATTTTTACGAATGGTGTGAGATAGTAGTTCTAGTTTCTTTCTTTTGCTTGTGGCAGTCCAGTTTTTCCCAGCATCATTTAGTGAAGAGCCTATACCTGCTCTCGTGTATATTCACCTCTTTTGTTAAATACCCAGGTATTTATTATTTTGGTTCAATTGTAAATGGGATGGTTTTCGTAACCCTTTGGACTGGTTGTTTGTGTATGGGAATCTTACTGATTTTTGTGTACTGATTTTATAACCTGTGACTTTACTGAACTGGTTTATTGTTTTAATTAGGTTTTCCATTGATAGATTTGTAGTCTCTATATAATCATATCATCTATAAATAATGATAGTTTCTTCTTTCCCAATTTGAATTCCTTGTAAGTCTTTCTCCTGCCTAAATGCTCTAGCTAGAACTTCCAGTATCATATTGAAAAGCAGTGGTGAGAGTGGACATCTTTTCTTGTTCCATATTTTAATGGAGAGGCTTACAGCTTTTCACCATTAAGAATGATGTTAGCAGCTCTCCTGCTTGCCTGTGACTATTCAGGAGCCTCTCTTTTTCTTTCTCCTATTCCTAATAAACCTATCTTTTTAAAATGTAAAAAGAAAAGAAATAATGTTAGCTGTGGGCTTGTCATATATGGCCTTTATAATGCTATGATATGATCCTGTTATCACAAGTTTTTTAAGGGCCTTCATAAATGGATGTTGAACTTTAGCAAATGCTTTTTGGGCATCTATTGGTACAATAATTATATGATTTTTTATTTTTATTTTTGTTGATGTGATGAATTACATTAATTGTTTCCAATGTTAAACTATCCTTGTGTCCCTGTAATAAATTCACTTTGTCATGGTGTATAATTCTTTTGATGCATTGTTGGATTCAGTTTGCTAAGATTTTATTGAAGATTTTAGCATCCATGTTTATTAGGGAGATAGGTCTGTAGTTTTGGGGGGGGTTTTGTCCTTGGTTTAGGTATTAGTGTGATGTTGGCCTTGTTAAATGTATTTGGTAGTATTCCTTTCTCAATTTTTTGAAAGAATTTTTACAAGATAGGCATCAGTTCATCTTTGAACATTTGGTAGAACTCATTCGTGAAACCATGGAGAGGGTTTTTATTAGTTTCAATTTTTGTTACTTTTAATTGGTTTGTTTGAGTTTTCTATTTCTTCTTTATTCAGGCTTGGGTGATTGTATAATTCTAAGAATTTGTCCATCTCATCTAGGTTGCTGAACTTGTTTGTGTATGAATATTCATAATAATCTCTAATTATCCTCTTGATTTCTATTGTATGTGTTTGTAATTTCTCCTCTTTTATTTACGATCCTACTTATTTAAGTTTCCCCCTCTTTTTCTTTGTGAGCCAAGCTAAAGATTTCTCTATTTTTTCAAGGATCCAGCTTTTGGGTTCATTGATCTTTGAACTATGATTTTTATTTCTATTTCATTTATTTCTGCTTTAATTTTTATATTTCCTTTCTTCTATTGGGTTTTGTTGTTGTTTTTCTTCTTTTTCTAGTACCTCAAGATGGAAGTTCTTTCTTTAGTTCTTCGAGTTCTTTCTTGTTTTTTGATGTGGGCCTATCTTGCTATATACTTCCCTCTTAATACTACTTTTGCTGTGTCTGGAAGGCTGTGTCTTCATTATCATTTGTTTCAAGGTATTTTTTTTATTTCTTCTTTGTTTTACATCACTTTTGTATGTTTGTATGTTGTATTTTGTATGTTGTATGTCTCTGGAGTTGGCAAACTGGTTGTCTTCACTCTGTCACCATTTTTCTGGACTCCTCCATGCAATTTTTTTTTAATGATAAAGAAACATTGTATTAAAGAAGTATGACTTGGGAGAACTACCAGGCCATAAAAGCTTTACCAATACCATACTTTTCACCAAAATATTTTGACAAGAGAAAGTTTGCTATTTGACCTACGTTTAAACAACCAAAATATTACAGATAGGGAAAAAATCTTGATCTAATTATCCTATTGCTGATAAAAGATATAGAAGGATAAAATAGCTTTGTAGTAAAATATGAGTAATTGTTGGAACAATTGTTACTAAATATATGGTTTATCTTAGTGCTAAAAGCTATGCCTTTTTCTCCATTGAGTAGATATTTTTTATAAGTCTTCAAAAACAAGATAGATTCTCATCTGTCTTACATGTTTGGATGTGGAACTACCATAGATAGGAAAGGTTAGAATAATTTTTACTGAGTTCTAATATCTAATATCTAATATCTGTTTCCCTTCACATATACATGGATTATTTTTTTGGAGAAAAGCTTGTAGTATTTGCATGTACTAATGCATGTTTTAAAGCAAAAGAGTATCCATCAGTAGCACATGACTACATGTACACTACCATCAAAAACATTCATCTTGTATATGTTTAAATCTATCAGCTCATGGAAAAATTAATGCAAGGATCATCTTGCCACTGTGTCTTGGCTAAGTCCATTGTTTTTTTTAAGATTTAATTATTTATTGCATAGAAAAACTGGGGTATATGCCAGAGGTATGGGGGGGGATAAGAGGATTCACCAGGGACAGAGTGGGAAGCAGAACAGGCAGATCTACTTAAATACACTGCTGAGGGGAGCAGAGGGTGAGATAGGAAACAGGCTGCACCATATGTAGGTTAGCTCCCTGGTGGGGAATTGTTAATCTCAGCACTGTCACCACTAAGCACATTCTTTATCATGGGGTACTGCAATAAATTAAATTCATCAAGTGGATTGCCATATATCTTTCCTAGTTTTGTAGTTGCCATGTACCTGAGAACCTGGCATTATTATAGATTGAATTTGCCTGAGCCTCATCTTCACATCCGGCATACTTCATTCTCCAGTCACAAGTCAAAAGTTCACCTGTAAATTACATATCCCATAACATAGTAAATTTAACTTCATTTTCACAGTGTTTTGGTTCTAGGGTATGTGAAAGCAGGATTAAGTGGGGAGTCACCTGGCCATGATTTTCCTTCTATTTTTTGGGACTTGGGTTCACAGGATTTGTCTTCCTGGGCTTCCTTTTTGGCAGTTTCTAAAAGGTAAAAAAAAAAAAACTATAAATTGGACATTATCTATTCTATCATATATTCCAAGGTTAATAAATGAGATAAATGCCTTGTATATAGTATACCAAAACTTCCAGGTACTTTCCCATATATATTATGTTGCTATCAACCAGTTAACTTCAGTTATTGAGAGAACCTATGTGACAAAAGCTATTTGATATACCCCAATTTAGCCATGCAAAATGAGGGCTATCTTTCCTAGCCTCCCTCATAGCCTAAGGCTCACTGTATGCCTGCATTCTGACCAATGAGATGTGAAGGAAAGTGATATGATACCATCCCTTCTTTCTCATTACTTGCCTTGAGAATGTGGACAGGGTGATAAGCCATTTTGACCATGTGGTTGGAGGAGACACAAGACAGAAGGAACTTGAGTCACGGCTAATTTCAAGGGACTGAGCTATCACACAAGTTTTGACTTTTATATGAGAAAGAAACTCTTACCTTGATTAGACATTTATATTGAAATTTTGTTTGTGTGTTTTTAGACACTGTCATTTTGGATCACCGTTAGACATAGCCAAACTTAAGTCCTAACTAATAGCATCTTATTGAATAGTAACATCATGAATAATTGTTAGCTGCATTCCTACTATGTAGGGGGAGTCAGAAAATAGTAGCCTTTTGTGGAGTAATAAATAAAATACTGAAAGACTGAAAGATTTCAAATTAGTGAATGGCATTGTAGAATCCAAAGCACAAATTTAGAATTACAGAGGAATGAATAAAAAAAAAAAAACCTTTAGGGCCTCCCCGGTGGCGCAGCGGTTGAGCGCGAAGCTGCCCGCAGCCTCTGCAGCGCCGGTTCAATCCCCGGCTACTCCCCGGGCACCGGAGGAGGGTCCCCCACATGGCACGCAGACCTCTCCTGCCGCCCGCTGCTCCCCTCAGCAGTGTACTTTGGTCCTTCTGCCTGCTCTGCTCCCCGCTCTGGCTCTGGTGAATTCTCTCACTCTCCCGCACTTCTGACTGTACCCAGTGCTTGTATAAATAAATAAAAATAAATCTTAAAAAAAAAAACTTTTATGCCTTACAGACCTTAAAGGCATTGAAACTGGCTCTCAAAAAAATTAGAATTTTCAACAAAAATGGCATAAATTGGCATAAACAATTGGGAGGGAGAGTTCACAGAGTAAATACTTGAAATGCAGAGTGCTTTCTTAAATATGACTTTTCTAGAACATATATCTTATATATTGATAAAAACAAGCTCTATTTTATAGTTAAGGTAAAATTATAAAGTGGTTTTCAATATCTGACACCACATTTAAAACAAAAAGGCTTCTACCGATTTTTCAGAAGTCCAATGAAAATTTCTTTATATAACATTACCAGATTTCTTTCTTACAAATGGACTTCTACTGAAGTTGTATGATCAAAGTTCTAAGTAAATTGACAATAGAAACTTTATGGCATGCATTTAATTAATCATTCAAGGTCTAGTCTCATGCTGAGTAGTAAAATGTATCTGAGATTTGCATGACATGATATGCCAGGAAAGATCCTAATTGAAATGAGTATTTTACGTAGAGACTAAAAACCACTTTACAAAACAGGAGCTGAAGTTGTGTAATTGCATTACTACCTGAAAGATAATATTTTCCACTAGATACTGGAACTTCCTCTTGCAGTTCAGAATTCACAAATAGTTCCTTTTCATGAGTTTGCTCCTGAGTTCCCTCTTCCTGTGGAGGGATTTCGATGTACTCAAAGGGAGTAGCCTCCCTTTTTTTATTTTCTCTTAAGATACTATCTACTCCTGATTGTGCAGATGAGTCTATGGCCTGTTGTTCTTCTGGAACTGATATTTGTTCTGCAATTGACTCTCTGTGTGGTTCTTGTTCTAATACTGACTCTCTGCCTGTTTCTTGTTCTAAAACTGAACCTCTCTGTGGTCTTTGTTTTGTTACTGAGTCTCTGCGTCCTTCTTGTTCTACAATTGACCCTCTTTGTGGTCTTTGTTCTGTTACTGACACTCTGCTTGTTCCTTCTTGTGCAATTGACCCTCTCTGTGGTCCTTGTCCTGTTGATATTTTACGTTGCCTTTGTGCTGTTTTTGATTCTTTGTAAAGTTCTTGATCTGCAGTTGATTCAATCTGGATTCCTTGTCTTGAAGTTGACTCTCTTTGTGGTGGTCCTTGTTCTATAGTTGACTCTCCATTTGATCCTTGCTCTTGAGTTGATCCTATGTGGGATTCTTGTTCTGTTAGTGATTTTCTGTACCATTCTTGTTTGTCAGTTGACTTTCTGCCTTGTTTTAGTTCTTGAGTTGAAAGTATGTTTGGTTCTTGTTCTCCAATTATCACTCTATGCTGTTCTGATAGGTGTTGTGGTAGTGTTGATTTCCCATATTCATGTTGATCTGGATTTTCTAACAATTTACTTTGGGTTTTGCTAACATAATTTTTAGCAAGTAATGTATTCATCTCTAAGAGTGCTTTGTCAAAGTCTTCATAAATGTGTTTCTGATTATCCATGTCTCCCCAGAGCTCAGGCAAATCTATCTCTTCAAATTCAACGAATGGCCCTAATGCAAACACAAAGAATTAATCTAAATAATTGATCTTAAAAGTCAGAGTCAGAGCTAGTAAATTAATGCAAAAAAGTATTGAGTACAGTGATTGTACTAACCAAAATAGGTCTATTACTTTAAATGAATATCAGTTACTGTTCACTCCAATGTAATAAAAAGCAAAAAGATCCCAACATAAAAGATGCTCACTACTATAAATTAGAATGTATGCCTTCCTAAAAGGTATGGTTTTGGAAATGAACAGGATTTTTCTTTGGTTACTTGGAGCATTGCTACTTGCTTACACTGACAATGCAAATAAAATTTTTCTCTACTTTTGGTCCTCCCACATTAAGCATAGGATGAAGAAGAGGAAACAGGTCTTCCACCTTGAATTCCTTTTTGCAATATTTGCAGTATCAAAATAAAAGCAAGACTCTATACATGACAATCTTTGCCTGGTGGGCTATATTTTTCCAATATTCATTTTCTCCCCCTTTATCTTCCCTCACTTTCTTTTTCATTCCTCAGTTCTTTTCTTCCACTGCTCTCAGACACCTGGTTCAGAATTCTAGGGATAGATAAAATTTATCAGAATCATACTGTTAAAAAATAATAACAAAATAACATTGGTGTTCAGGACTACAGAAAGTGAGACTCATGTCACAAGACTGACTTCCTCCCTCCCAAATAATTTGATCATGTTCAGTGAAATAAGCCAGAAACAAAAGAAAAATATCAGATGGTTTCACTTATACTAGGAATGTAGAGGATCCAAATATGGGATGGGGGAAAAAAGTAATAATAATAAATTAAAAATCAAAATCAACAGGAAACTATAAACCAGAGACATTCTGCATTCAGTGGGAGAAGGGAGGAGGAGCAAAACAAGGGTGGGAAAAGCACAAGGAACCATGGTAATGGTTCACGGGTGAATGGGTGGTGGGAATTTCATGGGGACTATAACCAAGATGAAAATGCATACATTGTACAAAAATGATGTAAAAAATATATAAAATAAAAAAGATTTTATTGTATAAGTTCAGTAAGAGTATATAAATAAAAATACTTAGAGAAAGGAAACACTTTTCTTAGAAATCTTAGAATTGTAAATTGGGCATTAAAAATTAGAATTACCATTACCATCTTAATTTCCTAAACAAATTGTCATTAACATTATCTTCATTTGAATGAATTTAAAATTGAGTTCTGAGTTCACTCTAGACAATTTGTAATATTGCAAAATAGTGAAAAGTATATCTAGTGGTGATGAGTAGTGAATTTCGTGGGGAATGGACAGCTAGATATACCTATTATGATCTAAGGGGGATGTTATGTGAAGAGATTCCATGAAGATAGAATGACTTTCTATGGCATCACTCCAGCTTGAGCACACTTCCTCAGAATGAAACTTACATTGTCTTGGGTTTCGGAGTAAATTTCTAAGCATTCTTGGACTTTGATCATAGAATGTTTCTAGTAAGTCCAATGTTCTCTGCCGATCCAAAAACCCTAGCTAGAAAAAAAGTTGACAGTTATAGAGTTCAGATTTTTTTATATAGACAGACTATGGTTTATGGAAGATTTTATCATCACCACCACCATCACCATCAGGTAAATAAAACTGCAGAGTCAAAATCATGAAAACTAGGGCCTCCCTGGTGGCTCAAGGGGTTAAGACACAACCTATAAAGCTATCCACAGCCACTGCAGCACAAGTTCGATCCCCCGCCAAAGAACTACCCACATGGTGCAGCAGACCTCTCCAGTCTCGCCCACTGCTCCTCTCAGCAGTGTATTTCAGTCAGTCTGCCTGTTCTGTTCCCCACTCTGTCTCTGGTGGATCCTCTCATTCCCCCACTCCTCTGGCCTGTACCCCAGTTTTTGTATGCATAAATAAACAAATCTTTTTAAAAATCACGAAAACTATATCTTATCTTTAGACTAATACAATACTTCCCTATATTGTGACATGTCAAAATGCCTTGCACTTAGTAGATGTTTAACAAGTATTTGTTGCTACTGACTTAATTGCTAAATGCAATGTACATGTCCAGTTCTCTGATCTGACCTGTATATGACACCTGAAACAGTTAAATACCCCTTACTTGTCTTGTCTTTTTTTTTTGCATTGTTTTTATCAGGAGAAAAATTTTATTTACAGCATAGTATGGAAAATGGACACTGGTGTTCTCAATATCCAGTATGATTGTTAATATTTTGTATGTAAACTTTAAAAATATATAATTGATATTGAGGGACATGTGTCCTTCTTAATATTGCTTTTATTTATTCATCATTATGATCTTATACATCCACTTAAAGAAATATATATTTCAGTAGTAGCTCACCCCTTTTATCTACAGGAGAAATGTTCAAGAAACCCTGTGGAAGCCTGAAACCATGAAAAATACCAAGCCCTCTAAATACTATGTTTCGGGCCTCCCGGATGGCGCAGCGGTTGAGCGCTGGGTTGCGAAGCTGCCCGCGGCCTCTGCGGCGCCGGTTCGATCCCCGGCTGCTCCCCGGCCACCGAGGAGGGTCCCACATGGTGCGCAGACCTCTCCTGCCACCCGCTGCTCCCCTCAGCAGTGTGCTTCGGTCCTTCTGCCTGTTCTGCTCCCCGCTCTGGCTCTGGTGAATTCTCTCACCCTCCCGCGCTTCTGACTGTACCCCGTGCTTGTATAAATAAATAAATAAATCTTAAAAAAAAAAAAAGTATACCATTGTTAAAATAAATAAATAAATAAATAAATAAATAAATAAATACTATGTTTCTTCTATAGACATAACCTATGATTAGGACTTAATTTATAAATTAAGTATAGTAAGAGATTAGCAATAGTAACCAACAATAAAACTAGAACAATAATAACAATATACTATAATAAAATCATGTGAATGTGATGTTTCTCCTAAAATATTTTATTATATGTAGTATTTTTGGACCAAGTTTGAATCTGTGAAAACCAAAACCACAGATAAGGAAGGGACCACTGTATGTATTTTAATTGCTATATGGTATTATGTAATATGAAAACACCATAATTTAAAAAAATTCCTCTATTGATGGGCATTTAGATTATTTCCAGTATTTTAATATCAAAATAATGCTACAATGGATATCCTTATACATATGTCGTTATGTACACGTGCAAACATTTCCCTAAGATAAATAACTAGAAGTGTAATTAATAGATTGTATACTATGAGCATTTTATCCTTTTAAAACATCCCACAGGGTCTGGTAGCTTGTCTCTCCACTTTCATTAGTCTCTAGATACTTCTTGATCTCTTCTTTGACTTCTTCAATGATCCAGGAGTTGTTCAGAAGCATCTGTTCAGTCTCTACGTGTTTCAGTTTGTTCCAGGATTCTTTTTGTGGTTAATTTCTAGTTTTATAGTATTGTGGTCTGTGAAAGTACTCTTATTTTCCATCTTTACAGCATTGTGGTCTGTGAAGATGCTCTATTTTTGTTGATTTTCTGAGATATGTTTCATGACCTACTCTATAATCTAGCTCTACTCTTGTGAATGTTCCATGTACACTTGAGAAGAAAGTATATCCATTTCTTTATACATGTCCAGTAAATCCATTTGTTTTTACACTTCATTTAAGGCCTTTATTTCTTTGTAAATTTTCTGTCTGGATGATGCATCCCTTTGTGTCAGTGGTATGCTGAGGTCTCTGACTATGACCATATTTTTTTTTAATTGGAATGAATATTTTTGTGTATATGTTATTTTACATCTGTTAATAGTTATTTTGTTACTAGGTAATCCTATATTAGGTGCATACCAATAACAATTATATCTCCTTGATTAATTTTCCCTTGATCATTATAATGTCCACCTTTGTCCCATTACATTTTTTAGTTGAAAGCCTAATTTATCTGATATGAGAATAGTAGTCCTTACTTTACTGAGTTATTAGCATGTATGACTTTATTCCAACCTATTAATTTTAGTTTGCATTAGTCTTTCCATTTTAAATGGGTATCTTGTAAACAAAGTATTGATAGTCAAAAATTACCCACATGGTTAGTCTGTGACTTTTTATTGGTGAATTCAAACCATTCACTTTTAGGGTAATTATTGATATGAAATGTTTATCACTTGTCGTTTTTGTGTTTAATTTATAATTCTGTTGTTTGTTTTTCCATTTGTTTCTTTCTGCTCTTTGTGGATGGCTTTCCTTAGTATTTCTATCCATTTCTTTGTTTCTTCATCTGAGAATCTCTATTCCAGATTTTTGGTTAGTGGTTATCATGGGGGTTTTACTTAAATTTCTATGACTTAAGTCCTCTATGAGCTCGTGTCTGCTCCGACTTTTAATTATACAGGTTCTGTCCATTTCTTCCTTCCCTTTAGTGTTTTGTGGTCAACTCACAGTATTCTTGCTTACGCTTCTGGTGTAGTATTGCTATTGTCATTTGCTCAGGAATTTGTTTCATTTTTTCTTTTCTTGTAGAAGAACTCTTGTGTGGCAGGTCTGGTGATGGTAAACTCTGTTAGCTTCTGTTTGTCTAGGAAAACCTTTATTTTGCCTTCACATTTGAATGATAATTTTGCAGGATAGGAAGTTCTTGGCTGACAGGATTATGAATACTTCCTTCCACTCTCTTTTTGCCTGGAGAATTGTCTGGGCTGAAATCCAGGGAAATTCTAATTTGGGAGCCTTTGTATGTTATCTTTTCGCCTTGCTTCCTGCAATTTTTTTTCTTTATCTTTGATTTTTGATAGTTTGACAATTGTGTGTCTAGGTGTAGATCTTTTTGCATTTAAAAATCTGAGTGTTCTCTTTACTTCCTAGATATCCATATTTAATTCATTCATCAGGTTTGGGAAATTCTCAGTTATTATTTTTTTTAATGGGGTTTCTTTTCACATTTCTTTCTCTTTACCTTCTGGGATCCCAACTATTCTTAAATTTCATCTTCTATCATAGAGTTTCCTCATTTCCCCTTTGTCTTGATTCTCTCTCTTCTTCTAAACAGGTGATATTTTCATTGGAGTCTTCTACATCTGAAATTCTTCTTTCCAGTTTAATTCTATTTAAAGTACTTTCTAAATCTGTCCACATTTTATTCAGTATCTTTTTGTGATATTTTTACATATTCATATATTCTTTGGTAAAGAATTCTCTTTGTTCCTGGATTTCCTCTCTAAGATCTTGCACCTACATATCTGCCTTTGACTGACCTACCACAAGCTCATTTAGCATTTTTAATAATGTTGCTTTAAAGTCTTAGTTTGATCGTTTATTTCTGTATCCTTTATATAAGTCCCAGGACTACTGTCCTTCTCATTTTGCTTTTCCATCTTGTGTTCAGATGTTCCTTGCTTCCTAAACATGTCTCCCCCTTCAGCGACCACCAACCTGAGGTTGACAGCTTTGTGGGAAAGTCCTGGGACTCTAAAGACAGGACAGACAATCTGAACAAATTTTTTTTATATACTTGTTTTATAGGGAGAGAGTGATCCCAACCTCTCTATTTTGCCATGTTGTGGGTGGAGTCCGTATGAGCATTTCAACTTTAAAAGTTATTACAAAATTGCTCTACCTACACCAATTTACATTGGTATAAATGAATACATCATTTCTCCTTATCTATGTCAATACTTGTTATAATTAATTTATCAATTTTCCCCCAGTCTGATGGTAAAAATAGCATCAATTCTTTTAATTTGCATTTGCTTAATTATTAGTGAGATTAATATTTTTTAGTATTTTCATATATTTATTGTGTACTTGGGTTTCCTCATCTATGAATGGCTTTTTCAAGTTTTTTCCTATTCTAAATTGAAAACAGTTGTCTGTTTCTTAATTCATGAATTTTAAATAATTATCATTCTGTTATCCTTTCCCACTTTATCATTTATCTTTTAATTTAATGAGTTAAAAGTTGATGAGTTGAGCCATTTTCATGTTTTTAATTTTCAAATCATCAAATGTATCAACCATTTCCTCTATGGTTTGTGCTTATTGGGAATATTCTTTAGAATATACTGCCTATACTGAGGACAAAATGTATGGTTTAGACATATGCGTATATATCTAAAACTTTAAAATTTTGTTTTTCATATCTAAATCTCTGCTCATATGGAACTTACTTTATTAATGAGATTGAAATCTACTTACACTGGAGCTACTTATCAAAGGAAAAATAGTTAACTTTAGTAGAGGGTATAGCTTTGCTCCAAAACTCAAAGGATCTCTATCTATACCTTGATTCTACTGTTGCAACTTGCTATAGCATTCCAATTTGCCCCTTACACTCCAAATACTGTAGGATCTTCTAGGTGCTAAAGTACAAGGTAAAGAAGTGTTTTTTGGGGAAAAAAATTTGCTCACCAGCCTAGAAACCTACAGAGACTTTTTTTTTGCTCTGGGACACACTCTGGTAGTTGACGGCATAAATAATGCATAGAGCAGCACAAACGCCTGTGGTAAAAACTTGTTCTTTAAATATAAAAAGGTCCAATAAGTACTGTATCTCTTTCTTAGTAGCTCATTAACGTATTTCTCAAGAAAGTGCCATCTGGGTCCACCTGAGAGACATGGCAAAGGTGCACAAGGGCAGGCTACATATGAAAATTAACTTCAGAAACCTTGTAAGCCTTCGATGTCTTCCCGTTAAATGGCAAGAAGTTTCTAGCATCTCAATTCATTGAATGTAAGCCATATTTGAATAAATGTTTCAATTAACCTACCCAACAAATTATTAAAAACCATTGATAGAGACTCAAAATATTACTCCTAAGTAAATAATATTGATTACTTTGAGTCAATTCTAAGTAATATCCATCCTCCTTAGTCTAAAGGTTTTAAATCAATTCCCACATGTGGTCCCCAGTTTTAGACTGTTATGAATTAGCAGATATTCTAAACTATTTAGAAACTATTGAAAAACTTCAGTTATTCAAAAACTTCAGTTATTCAGTACAGATTTTGACTCTTGGACACCCAGAGGTCTGACTGCAATTTGGGGTCTAAGAGCCCAAATGTACAAATGAATGTTGTACTGTTGGGTCTTGAAAAAAATAGACATCTCCTTGCAAGCTAACTGCCCCAAATAAATTATAGGGTTTCTAAGGAAAGCAACATTAATAGTCTCAAATAAGAAATAAGCAATTTCTTCTACTGTCAAGGGAGGCTTAAGAATATTTGTGACTCCAGTCTCAGCTTCTACCCAAATGTAGCCATTTCAAGTCTCAGTCCTATCTGGGTTGTATTCTGTATATGTTAATCCGTTTCCTTTGTAATCTATTTTCTAGTAATTTCTGTGATGTATCCCTTTTTCCCCACGAATATTAACCCTAGCAAATTACTAAATGTTCTTTGAAGAATACTTGGTGTAAGATCTACAGTATATACTCATGGCAATCTTTTAGAATTTTTCCATAACAGACTGGAAATTAAAAACATTCCCATCAACAACAACGGTCTAAAAACTGGTCATTTAAAACATATAGTTTGAGAAGCATTGGAATAAGGATCTTACCCTACCTTCCCACCGTCACAGTATAGGAAGAGCTCAGCAAACATCTGCCTCTGCATGTCAGTTTTTATGACATCCCTGAATTCATCTGCACAGTGGCAAAGGTGCTTAAGTAGTGCCTCAAACATTTCATTTTTAAAGTCTTCAATATGCAAAGAGATATACTGCAGAGAAAAAGAGGGTGAATGATTGATTTTAAATTGTGCCCTTCACTTGGATTTTTCCAAGGATAGAGTCAAGTACATGCTATTATTGGCTGCAATTTTTTCCCATATCTTTACTTGTCACATAGATAAAGCATTTTCTTGTTAGTGCTATTCTACAGGCTGTGCTGCAGAAAGAGGTAATCAATATAACCTCCAAAACCATACACTAGTAAGAGAGACCAGAGACTTTTGGAGAAATTTCCCTCTAGAGTACCAGCAGTGTATAGGGCAGATTTTTTACCTCACAGTATGAAATAGCAGCATTCATAAATGGTACCTGAAAATTAATAGTTCTAAAAATTGAATGTAGTTTTTCTTCTGAGGTAGCAGTGTCCAATTTGTAGTGAATGACTCTACTTCCATAACTATAAATGACTGGATCAGGGGAAGAAACTTAACCTAAACAAAGCCAATCAGATACTCTCCATTGGGAATTTAGAGTTAGGAATGGGGGATGCCCAGAGAGGAGTTAGACTTGTGAATGTAAAGTTCAGAGTTGATGGGTCACCAGATTCTTCCATGTGAAATGAGGATGCAGAGTCTCTACATAGTCTTTTCCTGAAGCCAGACCATATTCCTGTCCTTGGGTTCTGTACATTTTCAACCACTTAATTCAGGTTGGTATCTATTTCTTACAATTAAAGAGTAGTAACTAATATAGTTTGTTTAATGTGGAAAATTTTGTTGACATATTTCATTGACACATAATTTTTGAAATGAGGGTATAAAGGGCAGGAACATGGGCACAGTGCAGGTTTTCTGATCCCATGCAGACTGGGTAAAGGAGAAGTCAGAGTCCTCAGTGGTTTTTTGCAGGTCTTTTATTGGGGTTACCAGGTACACAGCAGGCAGGGGTGCTGGGGGGCTGGAAGGCTGGCAGTCCTCCCAGCCCCCAGCAAGTCTTCACTCTATCTGGGCTCTCCGGCGTTCTCTGCTTCTCTCTCGGCTTCCTCTGTTCATTCTTGGCATCTTGGCTTCTGACGCCGACCTTAAAAGCCCAGTCTTAGCCCAGGTGAATCCCATCTACCTAGGCCCACACCCTACTCCAGGTGCCCGCCATCAGGCATGCATTCAGGACCACAATGATCCATCATCTATCCTGATGGCGGGAGGGCAGAAAAGCCTGACATTTTTCCTTACCCTACAGAGGGATATAGTGGATATTTCATTTCCACATTAATATTATCTAAGCAAATTTAGAATTTATAATGTAAGAGATACATTAGGCTTGAATCCATATTAATGATCATAAATTATTATTCAACTGGTTTAGAGATCGAAAGACAAAAATTTAAGGCAGAACAAAAAAAAAAAGCTTTTTTAAATATTTAGCTTCTTTTCCTGCCTAAATCACCTAGTTGTCATTACTTTTGATGGATGATGAGCCTAGTTAAGTTCTCATCTGTTACCTTGGGAAGCAGAACAGTGTGATGATTAAGAACATGTATTTTGGAGTCTGTCTGGGTTCAAATCCTAGTTCCTATTTACTGGATAAGTAATCTTGGGTGAGTCACTGAACTTTGCATTCCCTATGAAAGACACGTCAAAAAAAAAATTTGTACCTATTACCTATGGGTTTACTGAGTGAAAGTATTCTTCTGTTAAGTGTAGACTACATGACATAGACTACCAGGTGCCAAGTGAACTAAACATTAAATTCTAAATGGAACAAATTACAGCAATTTGCCAGTGTCCCTCAGAAAAATAGAAAAAGCGGAAACACAGAATAGCCTTTGTGTTTTCATATCCTCTCAAGGAATGAATCAATTAATATCCTTAAATCCTGAAATGACTGATTGATTAATGTAATAATAAACTAATATCCTTCAGTTTAATAGCTCTGTCAACAGTTAGACATTTGAACTCCATTAATTAAGTTGTCGCTATGTGCTGTGTCCTAGTCTAGTGAATTCTGTTCTTCTCTTTCTGACTTGAAAAACAAAACACTGACAATTTGGTAAATGTCACATTTACCAGGTTGGTAACTACTTTTAGATTCTATAGTTCAGTGCCATTGGGATTCACACTTTAATTATAGACATACTGGAGAGTCGGTGAAGTGGGTGATATAAAGAGCAGTAGAAAGGAATCTGTTTGGAAACTTAGGTATTAACTTCTAAACCATATTTATTTTTTTAAGAGTCTAGAAATCTATTTGCGAGGTGATGGCAGAAAGTATTGATAGAGAATTGGGATGGAGAGGTGGGAAAGGGAAGGGAATCACTTAAGTGTCATCATCAAGCTTGTCCCCACCTTCAGGAACTGAAGCTTGGTCCTGCTGGAGAAATCTGGGAATCAGGCTGAACCCACTCCCAGAAGCTATCCCACCTGAAAGGAGAGGGAACTGGGATATTTATTCACCACCTCTACTAGTCACTGACCAAACTGTATTTATAAGAACTGGTAATAAATCATGTTTTTTTTTTTTTTTTGAAGCTCAACGACATACACAGTCCTTTATTTTTTTTTTTTAATTAATAAATTTTATTTTTATATTCCCCATACAATTGCCATGTTTTCAGGAATTTTTCCAGACCAGGACTAGAGAATATTGAAAAACACAGGTTATATTTATTATCTATCATTGAGGAAGTAGTGATTTCAAATAGCATTTGAACAGAATTTTAGAGCTCTTATTTTAGAGAGGGAGCTTCAAATAACAATTATTTTTTGTCTCGTTGATCTACCCATTGTTGATAGTGTTGTGTTGAAGTCTCCCACTACATATGTGTTTCCTCTGATGTCTGTTTTCAGAGATGACAATAGTTGTCTGATATATTTTGGTGCTCCTTCGTTTGGTGAATATATGTTAATGAGTGTTATTTCTTCTTGAAGTATTGTCCCCTTGATCATAATGTAGTGACCGTTGGGGTCTCTTTATCTTTTTGAGTTTGAAATCTGTTTTATCTGATATAAGTATAGCTGTTCCTGCTTTCTTTTCTGGTCCATTTGCTTGTAGGATTGTTTTCCATCCTTTAACTTTGAGTCTATTTTTATCATTTGTAGCTAAATGTGTTTCCTGGAGACAGCAAAAGTTTGGGCTTTGTTTCTTAATCCAGCCTGCGACTCTGTGTCTTTTTATTGAAGAGTTTAGTCCATTTACATTTAGAGTTAATATTGATATGTTAGCATCTTTATTTGCCATTGTGTTTGTCTTTCCTTTGATTTTATTTATTTTTTTCTTTTAATAACTTTTTTAATTTAAATTTTATTTTTATATTCCCCATACAATTACAACCCCCTTATTTTGACCCCAAGCCCTCCTTTCCCCACCCCCCCACCCTCCATAGAGTGTCTCTTGTTCATAGTTATTTGTTGATTTTGATATTTTCTTTCTTATAGTTATTCTTTTTCCTGGTCCCTTACTTAAGTTTTCTAGATTCCTGCTATGAGTGAGACCATCCGGTATTTTTGTTTTTCTTTCTGGCTTATTTCGCTGAGCATGATCCTGTCCATCTCCATCCATGTTGCTGCAAATTGCATGTGTTTATCTTTTTTGAATGCTGAGTAATATTCCATGGTGTATATGTACCACATCTTCTTGATCCAGTCATCTATTTTTGGGCATTTGGGTAGTTTCCAAAGCTTAGCTATTGTAAATAGTGCTGCTATAAACATAGGCACGCAGTTGCTCTTTGGAATTGATGTTTCTGTGTCCTTTGGGTAAATACCTAGGAGTGGAATTGCTGGATCATATGGAAGCTCTATGTTTAGTAGGTCAAGAAATCTCCACACAGCTCTCCATAGTGGTTGGACCAGTTTGCACTTCCACCAACAGTGCAGGAGAGTTCCTTTTTCTCCACAGCCTCGCCAACATTTGTTGTTGCTAGTTTTTTTAATATGTGCCATTCTCATGGTGTGAGATGGTATCTCATGGTAGTTTTGATTTGCATTTCCCTGATTACAAGTGATGTTGAACATTTTTCATATGCCTGTTGGCCATTTGCATTTCCTCTTCAGAGAAATTTCTTTTTAGCTCTTCTGCCCATTTTTTGACTGGATTATGTTCTTTGTTTTTGTTGAGTCTCATCAGCTCTTTGTAGATTTTTGTGATCAGTCCTTTATCATTAGTGTTGTGTGCAAAAATGTTTTCTCAGTCGGTGGGGTTTCTCTTTGTTTTTGTTATTGTCTCTTTTGCTGTGCAGAAGCTCTTTAATCTGATGTAGTCCCAGCTGTTGATCTTTGCCTTCACTATCACTGCTTTGGGTGATGTGTCTGTAAAGATGTCTTTGATGTGCATATCATGGAGTGTTTCGCCTATATTTCCTTCTATGTATTTTATGGTTTCAGGTCTTTAATCTATTTTGAGTTGGTTTTTGTGCATTGTGTTAGGTAGTAGTCAAGCTTCATTCTTTTGCATGTAGCGACCCAGTTTTCCCAGCACCATTTATTGAACAAACTTTCTTTGCTCCAATGCATATTCTTTGCTTTTTGGCCTTCTTTTGTTGTTATTCGTCCCTCTGAGGTTCTGGCTTTAGGACTCCTTGTAGTATTTTTTGGAGTGGGGGTTTAGTTGTAATGAAATTCCAGAGTTTCTGTTTGTCTGGGAAGGTCTTTATTCTTTCTTCATAGAGGAAGGAGAGCTTTGCGGGATAGAGTATTCTTGGTTGGCATCTGTTTTCTTGGAGTCTGTTGACTATGTCCCTCCACTCTTTCCTTGCCCGTAGTGTTTCTTCAGAGAAGCCTGATGTCAGTCTGCTTGGTTTTCCTTTGAATGTTATCTGTTTCTTCTTGTCAGCTTCATTATTTTTTCCTTGTCATGGATTCTTGGGAGCTTTACTATTATGTGTCTTGCTGTATTTTTCCTTTCGTCATGGAAGTTTGGTGTTCTTCTTGCTTCTTGTATATCAATTTTCAGCTCCTTCTTCACGTTTGGGAAGTTCTCTTCTATTATTTCCTTGAATATTTTCTCTGTTCCCACCTCTCTCTCCTCTCCTTCTAGGATTCCTTTAACTCTT